TATGAGGAATATACTATTTTAAGAGTGCTTTCTAATAGCTGTGTGTTTCCCCTGTAAGAAATAAAACTCAAGTTTTAACCACATCCCATGAGTCTTCACATGATATTCTCACTGTTAATATTTAAATAGGCATTGAAGTTATTTGGAAGGTGTGCTTTTTCATATTAAATGGTAAAAATTAAGAAAATAAACATACTGTCATCACAATCTGAAGCATTCCCAGTAGAGAAGTCTAGCATTTGTTTGAAAACATAGCTCTGGACCTCAAGATGGAAGTCAGGGTTGGAGGTAAAGATTTGGGAGATATTGCATATTCATGGTGGTAAGACCTTGAGCATGAATGAAGGATTCTCTCCTTTCCCCATCTCTCTAGATTGCTGTTCCTTCTGAGTTTCCTCAGATGATACTTCTTCCTGCTCCCACCCCTAAATGTGAGTTCCTTTGTTCTTTCATTCAACAAATATTTATTAAATGGTTACTATCCTCAGGCACTGTTCAAGGCATTGATAATATTTGGTGAACAAAACAGACCAAAAGAAAAAACAAGGGGAAAAAAAAACCCCTTGCTTAATGAAGCTTACAATCTAGTGGAAGGAGAATATACAAATAAAGATGTAAAACATGGCATTTAGATGATGAAAAGTGCCATGGAGAAAAATAGAGCAGAGAGAGGGAGTGGAAGAAGTTGTAATTTTTAAATAGATGATCCAGGAAAGCCTCAGGGAAAATGACACGTTTGATTAAAAGGCCGGTGCAAGTGAAGGAACAAGCTATATGGTTATATGGGAAAAGCATTCCAGACAGAAAAGATAGCCCATGCAATAGCTCAGAGGCTGGAGATTACCTGGTGTGCTGGAGGAACAAGAGGACCAGTCTGGCTGGAGCAGAATAAGTGAGGGGAGAGTAGCAGGAGATTAGACCAGAGGCATAACTGGGTACCAGATTGCATAGGATCTCATAAACCACAATAAGAATTTGGCTATCATTCTATGTGAGATTTAAGAATCAAAACAAAACACTAGAGGGTTTTGAGTAGAGTGACAAAAATTTGATTTATATTTTAAAGGGATCACTTTTAAAGGGATCAATCATTTTGAGCATAGATTATGGGAAGAATAAGGGTAGAACCAAGGGGTTCAGTTAGCAGGCTATGACAACAGTCCAGGCAAGAGATAATGACAACTTGGACCAGGGTGACAGCAGTGAAGGTGTTGGGAACTGGTTAGAATCTGGATATATTTTGAAGTGGAACTGGCAGGAGCTGATGACAGACTGAACACAGGATGTGAGAAAAAGAAAAGAGTTAAAGATGACACCCAGCAGTTGGAAGAAAGAACTGTTCTTTCCTTAGATGAGGAAGACAAAGGGAGAAACAGGTTTGAAATGGTGACAGTGAAGATCAAAACTGTTTGGATATGTTAAGTTTGAGCTGCCCATTAAAGCCTGAAGTGATGTCAAGAAATATAGTTGGGGGAATTCCTGTGGTCCAGTGGTTAGGTCTGACTTTCCACTGCAGGGGTCCCAGGTCCAGTCCCTGGTCAGGGAAGTAAGGTCCTGTAAGCCATGCAGCATAGCCAAAACATAAATATATAAATAAATAATGCTTCAAACCCTAGTTCCATTATATATATATATATATATATATATATATATATATATATATATATATATATATATATAATTTCCCTGGTGGCTCAGTCGGTAAAGAATCTGCCTGCCATGTGAGAGACCCAGGTTTGATCCCTGGGTCAGCTGGAGAAGAGAATGGCAATCCACTCCAGGTTTCTTGCCTGGAGAATTCCATGGACAGAGGAGCCTGTCAGGTTGTAGTCCATGAGTTCACAAAGAGTCAGACACTACTGAGTTTTATATATTATATGCATTTATGCAAATCTGGAATTTAACAAAAGGTCTGAGAAGAGCTGAGAGGGTCCAGAAAGACACAAACCCTTTGACATCAGCCTGGGTTGTGCCATCAGCAACTGTATGTAAAGGGAATGGGAAGCTTACACCTCCATGTAGTAGTAGTATGCTGCTTGAACCACATTCTGTAGAGCTGTCTCCATCTCCCACTGTCTGTTAGCATCTTTCCTTTAATCATATTACTGTCCCTAGGTGGCACACATATACACTTAAATTCCTTCCTCTTTGGCTCTCCTCACATTACACACTCACTATGCCTTCTATAATCCATATTCTATGTCACTCCCTAAAAGGACATATAAGACTGCAAACTTAATCAATAAATGTGTGGGTTCTGACTGATCCACCCACCAGCCCTTCTCATCTCTCTCCCTTTCCTCAGGCTTCCCTATTCCCTGACACAGCAATATTAGAATCAGGCCAGTTGAAAACACCACAATGATCTCTAAGTGTTCCAGTGAAAACAAGAATCACTCATTTTAAATCAAAAGCTATAAATTATTGTTTAGTGAGGAAGTTAGGCTTCTTTCCCAAACACTGTGAATGCAAAGGAAAAGTTCTTAAGGAAATTTAAAGTGCTGCTTCAGTGAAAACAAGAATGATAAGTGAGGGGCTTCCTTGGTGGCTCAGTGGTAAAGAATCTGCCTGCCAATCAAGGCAGAAGACACAGGTTCGATCACTGATCCGGTAAGATCCCACATGCCAGGTAGCAACTAGCCTGTGCACCACAACTACTGAGCCTATGCTCTAGAACCTGGGGGCCACAACTACTGAGCCCATGTGTTGCAACTACTGAAGTCCACACGCACCTTAGAGACTGTGCTCCACAGCAGAAGCCACAGGAATGAGAAGCCTGCACCCAGCAACAAGAGAATGGTCCCCGCTCTCTGCAGCTACAGAAAAGCCTGCACGGCAATGAGGACCCAACACAGCCCCCCCCCGCCCCCAAAAAAAGGAATGATAAATGAAACAGTCTATATGGAGAGAGTATTAGTATTAGTGGTCTGGATAGAAGATCAAACCAGCCACAACATTCCCTTAAGCCAAAGCCTAACCCAAAGCAAGGACCTAAGTCTTTTTAATTCTGTAAAGCCTGAGAGAGGCGAGGAAGATGCAAAAGAGAAGTTTGAAGCTATCAGAGGTTGGTTCGTGAGGCTTATGAAAAAGAAGCCATCTCTATAATATAAAAATGCAAGGGCAGACAGCAAATGCTGATGTAAATCTGCAGCAAATTATCCAGATTCCAGATCTAGTCAAAATAATTAATGAAGGAAGCTAAATTAAACAATGGATTTTCAATGTAGATGAAACAGCCTTCTACTGAAAGAATATGCCATCTAGGACTTTCATAGCTAGAGAGGAAAAGTCAATATCCAGTTTCAGAACTTCAAAAGACAGGTTGACTCTTGTTTGGGACTAAGGCAGCTTGTGATATAGACTGAAGTCAATGTTCATTTAACCTTTTGAAAATTCCAGGGCCCTTAAGAATTATCCTAATTCTGCCCTATAAATGGAACAACAAAGCCTGGATTACAGCACATCTGCTTACAACATTGTTTACTGAATATTTTAAACCTAATGTTGAGAACTATTACTCAGAAAAAAACAGATTATGTTCAAAATATGACTGCTCACTGACAATACACCTGAGAACTCTGATGGAGATGTAAAGTGAGATTAATGCTATTTTTCATGCCTGCTAACACAATATTCATTCTGCAGCCCATGAATCAAGGAATAATTTTGACTCTCAAGTCTTATTATTTAAGAAATACATTTTATAAGACTATAACTGCCATGAATGAGTCCTCTGTACAAAGTTAACTGAGAACCTTCTGAAAAGGCTGGACCATTCTAGATAACTAAGAACATTCAGGATTCATGGGAAGATGTCAAAACATCAAGTTTAACAGGGGTTTGGAAGAAGTTGATTCCAATCCTCATGGATGACTTTGTGAAGTTCAAGATTTCAGTGGAGGAAATAACTGCAGGTGGAAAAAGAACTAGAATTAGAAGCAGAGTCTGAAGATGTGACTGAATTGCTGCAATTTCATGATAAAAGTTCAATGGATGAGAAGTTGCTTCTTATGGATGAGCAAAGAAAATGGTTTCTTGAGATGAACTCTACCCATGGTGAAGAGGCTGTAAAGATTGTTGAAATGACAAAAAAGGATTCAGAATATTACATAAACTTAGTTGATAAAGCAGTGACACTATTTGAGAGGATTGACTCCAATTTTGAAAGAAGTTCTACTCTGGGCAAAATGCTATCAAACAGCACTACATACTACAGAGGAATCATTCATGAAAGGAAGAACCAATCAATATGGCAAAATTTATTGTCTTATTTTAAGAAATTGCCATATCTACTCCAGCCTTCAGCAACCACCACCCCGGTTAGTCAGCAGACATCAACATCAACGCAAGACCCTCTACCAGCAAAAAGATTATGACTCAGGAAGCCTCAGGTGATGGTTAGCACTTTTAACAATAAGGTTTTTTTTTTTTTTTTTTTAGAACTTCCCTGGTGGGCCAGTGGTTAAGAATCCGCCTGCAGGGGACTTGGGTTCAATCTCTGCTCGGGGAAGATTCCACATGCCATGGGGCAACTAAGCCTGTTCACCATAACTACTAAGTCAGCGCTTTAGAGCCTGTGCTCTGCAACAAGAGAAGCGGTGGCAATGAGAAGCCCACACACCACAGTGAAGAGTGGCCCCTCCTCCCACATAGAGAAAATCGGCATGCAGCAACGAAGACCCAGCACAGCCAAAAATAAATAAATGTCAAGGTTGTAAAATCCATTAAAAAATAAAGTATTTTAAAATTAGGGCACATACATTGTGTTTTTTTAAGACGATGCTATTGTACACTTAATAGACAACAGTATAGTGTGAACATAGCTTTTATATGTACTGGGAAACCAAAAAATTCATGTGATTGGCTTTATTGCAATATTTGCTTTATTGCAGTGGTCTGAAACCAAACCAGGAATGTTGCTGAAGTAATTCTTAAAACTCTTGGCATCAGAAATGAGTTGGTGTATCTCTATTATGCCCTGTGGTTTTTCTCTCTTCTAGGTCAGTGAACAATTTCCTGATGACTGGTCCAAAGGTAAGAAAAAAATTCCTTTGATTTATTTGGACTTCACTTAGCTTCTTGACTGAAGACTACACATGTCAATTTCTTTTCATTATATCCACATCTTTTATTATACTGTGTATCTTTTAGGCAGAAAAACTGTGGCACAGAAAGGAATACACTCCAAATCACACAGCAAACTAATGTCAGAGCCAGGACAAGAACTCAGGAATATTGACTCTGAATTTATGGCCAGAATAAAAGTTTTCTTCCATAATGTCAGGCTATAGTCAGCAATCCTTTTCAGGGCGGGATGGGGGGGCGGGTGGCGCAGGGGGGCAGGCCATCCTCCATCTTTAAAATGCTGGCATTCTACTACATGATCTCTAAGAATATTTCCAGCTACAAAATGTTCTCTTCATAGGATGAAAACAGTTGGAAATTCATGAATCATGTAACTGAGTCTCATTTTGAAGTGACAGAGTACAGTGAATAGAGGTAGTGAGGTCTAGAGTCTAATGAAACACCAGTTTCATTCCTACTTCCACCATTTGCTAGTGGTGGGACCTTGAGCAAATTGTTTTAATCACCTTCCTGAGCCTTAGGTTACTATTCTATAAAATGGTACCAATTTCACAAGGTTATTTGCGATGTTACATTAGACAGCATATTGAAAGTGCTTACTCTTTCATTAATTTGGAGGAGTGGGAAAGTGTGCAGGAAAAGATACGCTTGGCCACTTTAAGGCAAATGCCTACCAAGTTCAACTACTATGAGTCTGAAGTTTGACACCTGTGTCCCTGCAGGCTTACCTGATCTACTCCAGCAGCGTGGCAGCTGGTGCCCAGAGTGGAATTGAAGAATGCAAATACCAGTTTGCTTGGGACCGCTGGAACTGCCCTGAGAGAGCCCTGCAGCTGTCCAGCCACGGTGGCCTTCGCAGTGGTAAGGAAAGCTTCAGCCACAGGTCCCTGGACCCCTTGGCCACAGGTTAGAGCCCCACTCTCCAGGGATGGAACCTAGCCTCCTCTCTACCTTTGTTCCTCAGCTGGTCTCTGCTCTCAGGTCATCTCCCTCTCTAGTATCTTCTCTGTTTTTTGCTCCAGCTCCTCTTTTTCTTTACTGACACCCTCTCTACTCAACAAATGGCCCTTGCTTCATCCCCAATCCTATACCATCTGCAGCCTCCTAGCTTCCTCAGAATATAAATAGATAGGTAGAGGTCATATATTTTCACACTTCTTAGCCTCTTCCTTTAGCAGGCTCAGTAGAGAGGTACAGGGCAAGTAGAAACTGACTTGGAGACCAGATTCCCATACAGAAGATTGAAAAGTGGCCATGCCCGGAAATGATTCAGGACTAGCTAGCACCTCTCAGAAGCCTCTCAGACTTCGATGTTCCAAGAGAAAGTGGGGATGGGTTCTTTACAACCTGACCTTCAGATTCTTCCCTATTTCTTTCTTGGTCTCTTTCCAACCTAAATGCCACCCATATCAACAATACTCTAAACACTCAGTCATAAAATGTGTAACCTGAAAAGATGGGAAGAGAGAAGAGCTGAGCTGAGACCAGGACTGGGGCAGATCCTGGAAGACAGTAAGGTACATTATAAAGGTGGCAAGATATTGGGTTGGCCAAACAGTTTGTTGGGGTTTTCCATAAGATCCTGTGGAAAAACCTGAACTAACTTTTTGGCCAACCCAATAGAATGGAGTAGAGTGAGGAGGGTATAATGATGATATTAAAGGTATGTCTTTGGGCTGTAAGTCCTCCCTCTAACTCCCTCAATTTTTGGTTCCTGCCAGCTAATCGGGAGACAGCATTTGTACATGCCATCAGTTCTGCCGGGGTCATGTACACTCTGACTAGAAACTGCAGCCTTGGGGATTTTGACAACTGTGGCTGTGATGACTCCCGAAATGGGCAACTGGGTAAGTAGTGAGCTTGGGAGTGGGTAGGGCAGCCCAGTGAAGTTCACTCAGGCAATGAAAAGCTTGGCAGGTACTTGGTGGAGTGAAGAAGGGTTGTAGTCTTCTAAATCTGAGGAAAATCAAGGTGGACCACTTTGAGTCCAAGCGGCGCTACAGTGACAAACAAGGCCATAGGTAACTGGGAGCCCTTTTCTCACAGGGTGTTTCCCTTAATTTAAATACAATAGCGATAAAAGAACAGTCCCTTCAGATTCTAACCTATTACTGTCTCAACCGTGGGAGGGGGGCCCTTCCACACTGCCTAATGAAGGAAAGCTACAGGGCTCAAAATAGCCTGGAGTTAAAACTCCCCTCCAAGTCCTCCCCACAGTTCTATACAGAATAAAGAACTTTCTCCCCGGAAGAAAGGAAGGGACCTTAAGATTGATTACGTTCAGCTCAATCCCAGCCAATCCCAGTCTCTGGCCGGTCTCAGGAATTCCTTGCCCCAGTTGTTGAAAGCTAACTAATAAAAAATAATCATGAGGAAAAACAGACCCCCTCAAAACAATGTATCTCCGCATATATATGTTTTCTATATACACTTACTCTCTTAGCGCAGCAGCTCACTCATCTGACTGCTGCCCCTTCTCATCTCATTAAAGGTGATCTGTTCCTGTAAAGTGCCGGTCTTGTGCTTTTTTTCTCGAACTTCGCCCTAACTCCCTTACCTTACACCTATCCCTATCTCATTTCCCCTGTTTACCTCCACTGTTCTCTGCAGTCCTCTGCCCTCCACCTCAACTGCCAACTGCTGTTCCATATTATCTCAGTTGGCCTCTCTCCCCCTCAGGGTCTGCACTTTCCTCACGTTTTCCACACCATTTTGTGCCTTCTGGATGTCAATCTCTGGCAGAGCATGTGTACACTCTGCCTGAAGGCTGGGGAACAGGCACCTGCCTCCCTTAGTAGCTACTTAACATCATTGGAGTCCTGAGCAGGGGATGGGCTGAAGCTAGGAGTACACAGGTGTCAAAAATAAATCTGGGGTGAAACTAATCTGGAGCGAGGGCACTCACCCCACCTGAATCCTTCCCCAATCCCCCTAACCCACTCAGAACCAGCAGCCCAGGAGGCTCCGTGCAGCCTGCTCAACGGCCTTTCTGCCCACCACGTTTTCCAGGGGGCCAAGGCTGGCTGTGGGGAGGCTGCAGCGACAACGTGGGCTTTGGAGAGGCAATATCCAAGCAGTTCGTCGATGCCCTGGAGACAGGACAGGATGCTCGGGCAGCCATGAACCTGCACAACAACGAGGCTGGCCGCAAGGTGAGTCCTGCAGCCCATGGAATCAGGTTCCTGGCTCCATCTACTACCAGGCCTAGGTGCGGACAGCCCGTCAAATCTTTAATCGGACTGGGCAAACGTGGTACCAAGCCGGCTGGCCAGGTAGACTTTCAGGAAGCCTCGCAACTCACCAGAGTGCGAGACTCCCCAGGGACGCAATCCCTGGCCCGCTCACTCGTAGCTCTCTCCCCAGGCGGTGAAGGGCACCATGAAACGCACGTGTAAGTGCCACGGGGTGTCTGGCAGCTGCACCACGCAGACCTGCTGGCTGCAGCTGCCGGAGTTCCGAGAGGTGGGTGCGCACCTGAAAGAGAAGTACCACGCGGCTCTCAAGGTGGACCTGCTGCAGGGTGCAGGCAACAGCGCGGCGGGCCGCGGCGCCATCGCTGACACCTTTCGCTCCATCTCCACACGGGAGCTGGTGCACCTGGAGGACTCCCCGGACTACTGCCTGGAGAACAAGACGCTAGGGCTGCTGGGCACCGAAGGCAGAGAGTGCCTACGGCGCGGCCGGGCCCTGGGCCGCTGGGAGCGCCGCAGCTGCCGTCGACTCTGCGGGGACTGCGGGCTGGCGGTGGAGGAGCGCCGCGCCGAGACCGTGTCCAGTTGCAATTGCAAGTTTCACTGGTGCTGCGCGGTCCGCTGCGAGCAGTGCCGCCGGCGAGTCACCAAGTACTTCTGCAGCCGCGCGGACCGGCCACGCGGGGGCGCGGCGCACGAACCCGGGAGAAAACCCTAAGCGACTCCTCTCCCCTCTTGTTTCCCGGTTGGTCCTTGGCTTTTTTTTTTTTTTTTTAGAGATCCCAGTAGTGAGGAATCTAGGGAATAGGGACCCCACACTACCAAGGCCAGGGATCCCGAGGGGGAAAGCTGCTGCATTCTCTCCAGAGCTCGCCACTTTCCCACTTGTTCCCACAGTTCCTCTGCTGTCGGCATCATTTGCCCACCACACTGAGACCTGCAGCGCTCTGTTCTGAGACTCTGAGCTATAGATCTTCCCAGGACTTCGAAGAGAATGGGCGTTCCTTCTCCCGGTCCTACCTGACCTAGCCTGTGGAACTTAAGAACTGGAAGAATCCTTCTGAGATATGCAGGGCCCAGAGAAAGCATGGCTTTTTTTTTTTTTCCCCATCTTACCCCCTCTACCCCTACTCCCCAATTTTCTGCTGTCAGCTCTCTGCCACAGCCACACCTTCCTTGGGCAGAGGCCCTCCTGTGCTTCTGATTCCCTAACTGCTGGCATAGACTCCCCAAGAATCTCTACTTTCCCTCCCCTTATCCTTCCTTTCTCTGAAAGAGATACTGAGGAAACCGACCCAAGAAAAAGCATGTCTTTAGGGGTTGGTTCCTAGAGGCGGAAGTTGAAGATGGAGGAAGTGGGAATGCTTGAGTGCTGACTTGATGAAAACCAAGGGTGCCACTCACCCTTGTCGTGTCTCTAATGGACTTTGCCAGTGGGGCAATGACCTTCCTAGACAATCATCCAAGGTGCCCCAGACATATACCCACAACATCCAGGCAAGAGGTAAGGGGAGAGTGCCAGTTATTTCCTACCCTTTCAAATAAGCTTCTGTGTGTTCCTAACCTACATTCTCCTAGCAACCAACTTTACCTCTACTCTTCCCCAAAGGATCTTATTCCCCTGAGCCAAGACTGAGATAAATAAAGCTAATTTCCCTTCAGGCCCTGGTTTGCACCTCTGAAGACAGGTCATGAGGAATGAGAAGCTGGGATCCCTCCTTTTCACTAACCTGATTCTCAAATAGGCAGGATTCAAGTACTGGATACTTTCCTTCAATATGTAAACTTCCTGCAATGAAACTGTTAATAGGAAGTTCAGTACCTTGAACCTTAATTTATTGCAGTCACTGTGACATCTTTTTTTCCAGGTATTGAATGTATTCTTGGGGCTATGGGGAAGGGTGCATGGAAGATGTAACCTTTAGGCTCTCTCCTCCCTCCCACCTTGCCTGGATACTATCCTCCTGTGGGCCTCACTTCCCTGATGGCCTAAATAGTTATCCTGGCCTGGCTGAGGTTCATCTGCCAAGTATTAGGAAATCATGCCCATAAATCTTCCACTGATACATTTACTCAGTGGCTAAGACCTTGCTACTTGTGGTGCTTCTGATTCTCTTCTCAGAAGGAAGCAGTACAGCAGGGACTTGCTGATGGAATAGGGCTCGGGAAGGGAAGAACTAACTCCTGACAGACCCTCTGCAGCCCAAGGAGCCTCCCAGTCATCTCCTTCCCCTAGGCTGGTCCTGGATCTGGGTGCCAGGCAACCCTCTGGAGCAGAATGGGTCAAATGCTAGAAGACTTCATCTCATCTCTTGTAGAGGAGAGCACAGGGAAAGAGTGGCTCCAAATGGGTAAAATGGGAGGAGGCTCTAAGGGTCGATCATGAGAGCAGAATGGCTCCCATACTCCAAACTGAGGCAACAGCAAGGGCAGATCTCAAATCCCTGGCCTCATCCCTACACGTCTTCTGGTCCCACTAACACCTACTGAAGAGAGAGGCTCACCTTCCCTCCTTACAGGGTACATGCTGCCCTCCAGGGTGTTGGGAGTGCTTCACTTCCAGTTCTACCAGCAAAGGCCTTTTGCTCCTTTCCTCAGCTTTGATCTGGGCCTCCTGGATCTCCCAACTAGCCCTTTATCCCTAATCAAGGAGTAGCATGCACTAACTTGGCTGTCCCACTTGGTAGAATTGCTTGACAGTATTCAGTAAGAAAATCTGGCAAGGCAGCTAGAAAATATAAAAGTAAAACCTTGTAAAGGAAAGTGACATTCCCCAGGAGGTCTCTCAGCAGACTAGTAGGAGAACTATCACGTGACATATGTGACAACTCCAGGTTGGTATTTGAAACATGTCACGCTGCCAGAAAGTTCTTTCACAGGTTATTGTTTTATATTCCCAAATGTCTATGATTGATACCACATTCGTGTCTATAAAGAAAACAATACTGAGCTACCTTAGATCTGGATTAATTTCCCCCAGCCCCTTACATTATCCATTGATTCATTTATTCATTCAACAAAGACCACAGTAGAAATACAGTGGTGAACAACATACTGACCTCCTGCATTCGTGGTTTAAGTTCTCTCTTATAATCAATCACCAGTGCTGTGTTCCTCTTTATAAATGTGGACAACCAGACTGGCTGCTTGGGAAGATTCAACTTCAAGGTCAGCGAGTGGAAAATCTTTTGTTTTACAGATTTAAACTGACGCTGAGAAAGATGTCTGGCTTGTTCCACCAACTAGTAAGGTACCATGGGGTGAGTTCTGGAACCCAGGCCCCTCCCCTCCTCTTGTGTGCTCCTTAGGAGTCCATCTGTCTCAGCCAGGGGACAGAAGCAGAGGGAGGTCCTGAGAAGTGACAAGGATGCTGGGTGGAGGGGACAAAACACTGTCTCCTTCCTGTCCCTGGCCTGTGAGCCTACACACAGGCAGGGCTTTCTTTCCTTGAAAAGAATCTCAGCCTCAACTGGCCTTAGCAGCAGGTTAGGGCAAAGACAGAGACAGGGTCGTGCTCAGCGCTGGCGGTGCTGGGGGTGGTGGGAGGGAAGGGCAGGCCAGGGCACTCGCCTATTGTGGGTCTGGATTGGATGCTTCCACTCATTCATTTCCTTTTAATTAACCCGCATTCCTGGAGGAGAAATATTTATGTTGGCTCCCATAGAGGCAATCTGCAGACTGGAAAGAAGGGGGAAGAAAGCCAGCCTTAGCAAAACAATATCTCTCAAGAGCTCAAGAAGAGAAAATAAGAGAACAAAATGCCATTAAAATAGCCTTCTACCCCCACCGGAGTCAATGAAAACTTCATTTCACATGCTAATCCCCCACTCCGCCCCCTTCCCTTCTCACAACACCTTTCCGAAAGTGTTTGGGAAAAGTCTTCGCAGTCAGTACACAGCTCCCCGCAGCTCAGACTTCTCCTTGTGTTAGTTCAGGGCCCCAAGTGGGGCTCTCGCTCCAGCAGCGGCTTTTTTCTCCCCCACTTTAATTTAAACAAAGACTTCAGAGTTCATCAACCTCCCACTGAAATTCACAGCTGCTGAACAAACTAATCCCCTCTCCCGGCCTTTCTTCCCTTCAATGGGCTCTTGGCTTCAAAGACACTTTGGGAAAGGACTTTGCTGGGGCTCACACTGCTTTATCAATAGAAGTTAGTGCAAGTATTATCTGAAGAGCAAGTGGCTTTACAAACAAATACTGCCTAACAATCCCTTCCTCCCAAACACACACATCTAGCCTGCAGACATGATGGGATCTACAACAGGATTAGAGATCGTACCCCTGGCTTCACACCCGGCCCCTTTGTGTAGCTGAGCTCAGCCCTGAAGTGGTGTGGGGAAAACCCTGGAGCTGAATGTCAGGCACGGATGGACACATGGACACACACACACACACACACACACACACACACACACACACACAGAGTGATGTGGGGAAAACCCTGGAGCTGAATGTCAGGCACGGATGGACACACACACACACACACACACACACACACACAGAGTGATGTGGGGAAAACCCTGGAACTGAATGTCAGGCAAAGATGGAGACACACACACACAAGAAGTGTGTGGAGCTGAATGTCAGGCACGGATGGAGACATGCACGTGCGTGCACATGCACACACACACACCCTCCGAGTGGCCATAAATGCTGCAAGGAGAGAGCCTAATTCAGTGCCACCTCCTTTCTTCAATTCTCCCGACTTCCTATCTGTCCCCAAGCGTCTCCCCTGCCTTACTGAGGTACAGGAAGCAAGAACAAAGGACTGGGAAGACAGGTAAGAGCAAAATAGGACCCAGAGGAGATAATAATTGGGAAATGACTGAGGAAACCAAACTAAAGCAGCTTTATTGCACATAAAGTACATCAGGGCTTCAGTGCAGAGTCCAACCATGAAAGTGCAGCCAGAGAGAGAAGGCAGCCCTGAGATGTGTGGGGGTGGGGAAGAAGGGCCTCCAAGTCTTGAAGAAGAGTACCAGAAGAGCCTTTCATTAATATGGCTCCTATTCCAGAACTAGGCTTCTAATCACAGAATGAATGGGTCTAGATCTTGCCTGGGCCAGAACTCAGGCAGGCTGAGTCAGGGGCTGCTCCCCATGGGCAGTGGTCCTTCTGCTCCTATCCCATAGTTTAAGACAACTCTCAGCAAAAGGCAGTGCACTCCTTCCACCCTCAACCTCACCTAGTTAACCCTTAACAATGCTGGCAGAGAAGTCCCTTCTTAAAAGGGCCTGAGTTCCTTCTCTTGGTTCTGCTCAGCACCCATCACTCATGTCTAGGATTTGTTGAAAGGGTGAGCAGCGGTCAACTCTACCCCAGTCTCTGGGACTCAGAGAAGTATGGAAACATGAAGTCAGAGGCAAGGAGAAGGTAAAGTCAGGCTCATCACCCACAGAAGGGGAAACACATAAGACCCACACGATGGGTATGGCAGAGGTAGACTTGAAAAAATGATCCTGCTCACCCTCTCAGAAACCACTTGGACAGAATACCCCTGGGGGAGAAGGCACCCTATGTCAGCCCCTGTTGGAGTATAGTTTTAGGGAAAGTGAAGAGAACAGGCTGACTGAGCCCTGGGCAGATCCCAGAGGGCCAGGCATAAAGTTGTAGAGAGCAGGCACTCTGCTGGTTTGGAGCCAAGCCTACAGCATCATATACCTGGCAGCAAGGGAGGAAGGCTGGGAAAAACAAACAGAATCTGTTTCAAAATTCCCTTCCTGTAGGAAGGAATTAAGTAACAGTAAAAGTGGTCTCCTGGCAAGAGGAGATGCCTGGTTTAGACGTGCAGCTTATGAGCAATGGTGAGGACAGACTTCAGGACAGGCATGAAGCTGGAGACCTCACTGAAGCTGCTGCAGCTCACCACCTGGGCATGCACCATGAGGCCCTGCTCTGAGCTTCCTGCGTCCACACATCGGGCAATCTCATGGAGCCCGGCCAGCACAGGAGGCGAGAGCTGTGGAGGGATTGGCCCAGAGTTAGTAAGCCCAACTCCACCCCTACCCTGGAAGCATGGAGGGGAGAAGCGAGGACTCCATTCTGGAGTTCTGGAGCCCAGTCCAGGCAACATGTCTATATTCTGTAGGGAACCCAGGGTCATGAGGCTTATGGGAAGAGACACCCTTTGGCCATGGGTAAGGGTGGAAAAGCAGGAGCAGATGAGCACCACTGAGTGTACTTACTGTCCCCTCACAGAGCTTGTCATACAGACATTCTAGACGTTGCACAGCTTCATCTAGCTTCCGTTTTGTTTTCTGCAGGGAGGGAAATGGATTCTAATTCCAGCCCCTAAGCCTAATACTACACAGGACCATAAAGAATCATGGTACCAAAAAAAAAAAAAAAAAGAATCATGGTACCTTAGAGCTAGAATGGCTCAGTGCTCTTTCTTTCATTTGACAGAGGACAAATGGAGACCTGAAGAGGGTAAGTGACTTGCTCTAACTGACTCAGCCAGGAATGAATGGCAGGTCTCCTCACTACTGATCTCACCCTCCTTCCAGTACTCCCTGCTGCCTTTCCAAGAGCTAAGTCTCGGTGCTGTTGGGTCCTGCTACCAAGGAGCTAAACTCCAGACCAGACAAGTCCTCCCCAACTCCACACCGACAATATCAAATAATTATAAGCTACAGACAGCATGTCCAGGGACAGTAAGAAGATTCACAAAAGGAACTGGTCTTATAGTTAAGGGATCCTGGGACCAGCTGGGGTCGGAAGGGAGCATCACAGGGAAGGTTCAGACTCACTAAGTCAGTGGCAGACAGGGCACAGCGCTGCAGAAGTGACTCAAAGCTGATCTTCAAGGACTGGTGTTCAGGGGGCATCTCCTTCCTGTCCATCTTCTCCAGTGGCTGCTGACATTGCTGAGGAGGGAGCAGGGAGACAGGAGAGATAGGCAAGCTGTCCTGCTTATGGCTCCCCTCAGGACTAGTCCTCTGTGATTTGGGGTCATGCTGCTCCCACTGAAGCAGAGCTGGAGAGGGGCATCCCCTTTCTCTGCAGTAGGGACACTTGGTATCTGCCTCCCACCCCATCTCTTTCAGCCCAGAGTCTGCCTCCAATGTGAGGAATGAAGTCATCCTCCATGCTCCCTGCTTTTCTACACCCAAGAAAAGAAGGTTTCCAAGAGGAAAGAACACACATCATTCTTGTCACCTGCCAGCTGAGTTCTTGTGGGGCTCCAGGGGGAACATGACTCACACTGGGGACGGTGGGTTGTGAGGAAAGGACCCCTCGAGGCTCAGAAGCGAGGCACATAACTGGAGTAGTAATTGGTGCTGGGGGCATAAATGCCTCTGGCAACTAAAGAGAGAGAAAAGACAGGCACATGAGTCTAAGCTGAAAGAACCCTTCTACCCTGCTTTGAGGGAGTGGCAGAAACTATGAATGAACAAGGGCACAGAACAGTGAGTAGGGAAGCTAGAAGTCAGAAGATGGTGAATAAGAAGGAAAGAGGAGGTGGCTGAAGGGAGAAGAGTGAGTGGGGAGAGAGAGGGGATAGAGTGCCCATCTGAAAATGGGAAGAACCAGGCTGCTTCTATAAGGAGCTAGGGCGTGGCTCATTGGTGAATGCAGGAGGGTTGAGTTGGGAGAGATGTATTCACCTTTTTCCTCTGGAGGTTTCCGTTAAGCACTGGAGCATTTTTCAAGGAATCCTGAGGTCCTGCATAGTATAAATATGCAGTATAAATAAATAAATAAATAATAAATATTTAGGGGCATGACCAGAAACACTGAAATTTTTGGTCTGAAGATCAGTAAAATTGTTTTAGTTGGAGTCTTCCACATACAACCTCTGCAGACCAGCCACACTCTCAGTTGACATTCCTAACCCTAGTTCACTGGCTTGAGGAAAGAGACTCCCAAGGTGGTAGTGGGGAGGGGAGGAGAGGGAGGCCATGGGAGAAGACTGACCTGGGTGAGGAGTCAAGATGCCAGTGGTCGGGAGGACACCAGCGTGTGGAGTACCTGGCCCTCCTGGAGGGTGGGCCCCAGGGAAGCTGACAGGAGGGGCTGGTGGCTGGGAGCTCATTGGGCTGAAGCCTGGTGCTCTCACAGGAAGCAGAGGGGGCACTGGAGGAGCCCCAGGCAGGGGAACGGAGCCAGGCTGCATAATGTCTGGGGGTACCATGGGTGGAGCCAGAAGAGGCCATGTTCCAGGGAATCCCACGGGGTTAGGAGCTTGTGCCCTTTGCCCTCGTAACAGCTGAGGCTGAGATAAAGCTGAAATGGGACAGAGAAGAGATTCAGACCACATCAGAGAGGAATCACGGAGGAATAAAAACAAAACTATAATAATAATAAATAATATAAGTGTACGGAGATCTACCATTTACAAACTACTTTTAACTATATTCCTTATTTGACCCTCGAAACAATCCTGTGGGGTTGAAATGACCAATATAACAATCATTCTCAATTTTCAAAAGAAGCAAAGTGGCTAGGTATAGTGCCCAAAGTACAGAGCCAAGTACTGACAGTATTAAGAATTCAGACTCCAAGCTCCTCCCACTAGATGGACATATTACTTCCCAAATCCATGCCAGCCATGCCAGCTGTTTTCCTCTGCGCTCTGTCTAGACAGATCTCCATTCAGTTGGTCACTCACCAGGCCTTACCCCAGGACCCAGAGGCAAGGGCTGTGCTTCCTGGACCCTAGATGGCCTGTAGTCACTTGTATTCTGCATTCTGGAGCCCTGATAAGGGCTAGGATGGGAAGGTGTCAAGGGCATCATTAGTGTAGACTGAGGTGTAAAAATCCTTGGCCTTGGAGGTAGAATTGGAACCTGCAGGAAGAGAAAAAATGGTCAGCATCTTGGAAAGGAAAAGAAGGTACTAAGTAACTGAAAATGGAAAAACAACAGGGAAAATGAAACCAAAGCCTAATTTTAAAAAAAAATCAACAAAATTGATAAACCTTTATAAAGACTGACAAAGATAAAGCGAGAAGACACAATTCATCAAGATAGAGGACCAAGCAGAGAATACTTCAACATACCCTGCATCCATGAAAGAGATGATAAGGAATGTTACAAATAACTTTACAAATAATTTGACAACTTAGAAAAATGGGGGAAAAAAAAAAAGAAAAATGGACCAATTCTTCAAGAACCACAAACTACCAAAACTTTGCCAAAATTAAACCAAAAACCTGAACGTTCTATAACTATTAAAGGAATTAAATTTGTAATTAAAAACCGCCTCCCACCCCCTTCCCCAAAAAGTTTCTAGGTAGACCTAGTTTCACTGGGGAAATTTTAACAAACCTTCAAAGAACTGACACAAAGCTTCCATAATCTCTTCCAGAATATAGAAGGACCATTTCCTAATTTACTTTATGAGGTCAGTACTACCCTGATACCAACACCACAAAATAAAACTACAGATCAGGAGAATTACATTGGTTAACTTGATAAATTCCACGTGCATTTTATTTCCTAGTCAATTGTGTAAACTTTATTTTTGTTGATTATATGTTAAATCAATGTTATGTTCTCATACCACTTCTTCAGAAGGCGGTTCCAATTTGAAACTGTATCATTTCCTTCAAAATGAAGGGCAAGTGCTTAGTTAAATAAAAGATTGATGACATCTTTTAAACCAAAAAAAAAAAAAAACTACAGATCAATATTTCTCATAAACTTAGGCACAAAAATCCTCAGCAAAATTTTAGTAAATCAAATCCAACAATGTATATAAAAATAATATACCACAACAAATAGGATTTATTCCTGGTCATGGAATGTACATCATGATATATTTAAAAAATCAATCAACACAATCCACCATATCATAAGAAAAATCATTTGATCATACAAAATGATGCAGAAAAAACATTTGACAAAATTCAGCACTGATTCATGACTCAGCACACCAGGAAAAGAAGGAATTTCCTTAGTTTCACAAAGAGCATCTACAGAAACCTAGAGCTACCATTATTCTTGGTGCTGAAAGACTGAATGTTCTCCCTCTAAGACTGGAAACAAGGTTAAGGTGTTCACACTCACCATTCTCATTTTAATACTACAAAAAGGCAATAGAAATTAATGGCATGTAATCTGGGAAAAAAGGAAGAGGGATAGCCTTTTTAATAAACGATTCTGGATATCCATTGGCAAAAAAAATAAACCTCGACTCAAATTTCACACTTACACAAAAATTAACCCAAAGTGAAACATGGACTTAAAACAAAACTACTTCTAGAAAAAAACAGTAGGAAACTTAGGGGATCTTGTACTAGGCTAACAGTTCTTTGACTTGACATGAAAAGCATGAACCATAGAAGGAAAACTTTATAAACTGGACCTTATAAAATTAATTTTTTTTGTTGCTCTGTGAAGGACTATTAAAAAGATGAAAAGAAAAATTCTTACATAGTTATATACACACACACACACATAGGAGGACATGTAAAACCAGTGAAATCTGTGGATAATACTAATGTCAATTTCCTGGTCTTGCTATTGTATTGTGGTTGTCTGAGATACTGACATGGGATGTGATGGGCCTGGTATGCATGAGACTTCCCAGTACATTTCAATGTGTCTTCTTGTAAGTCTATGATTATTTCAAAATATAAAAGAGAGAGGGAGGTTGGGGAAGGTGGGAGAGAAAATGAGCAAGTAGGAAAAATAGAAGGAGGTGGAGCAGAGGGAGGGACAAAAATGAGGATGGAAATTAAAAGATGGGACAGGATAAATCATCAGAATTTTCCTGCCTAATACCTTTATCTACAATCTCCCTGGATTTTGCTCCCCTCTGGTAGGCTCCTGCTCTCACAAATTAACAGCATCCTATCCATCTGGGCACTGTCCTCTACACCATCATCAGTTTCTGTCAATTCTACTGACTAAATATCTCAAATCCAACCTCACTTTCTAGTTTTAGATCATTTCCTTCCTTCATCATCTCCTGCTATGCTCCTAACTGTCTCTAGCCTTGCCCTTCCTTCTAGGAAGGAAGGGCATAGCTAATCCTTCCCCTGAATAAGACCACTCAATAGCTCCAGAATGCCTTCAGGGTCAAGTCTAAACTCTTGAACACAGAAATGCCAGGTCTCTCCTGATCTAACTACACATACTGTTACCCCAGCCTCAACGAACTCATCCAACTGCCACAAACACCTGCTTTGTAACCTCATTAAAATGTTAGTCCTTCCTCAAACAGGCTTTGCTTACTTTCCCTTTACTGCCTTGGCAGATGCCATTCCCTCTGCCTGAAATAACCTTTCTTCCCTCTTCCTTTGCTTAAATAACTTTTAATCTTCAAGACTCAGATAAAATATCAGTAAATTGCTTTCTGTGTGATCTCAGGGCTCTTTGATAGTATCCCAATCAGGGCATTTATGAATTTTACTGTAGTTAATTTTTACATATCTATCTTTTCACTAGACCATGAGGAAATTAAGGGCAAGGATCATGGTTTGTATCCTTTTCTGTTCTAAGTGCCTAGCAGTTGTTCAATAAACAGCTATTTAAAAATAACTGAATCTATGCTTTATGAAGATATGAATTTTCGTCATTTTAAAAATTAATATATTCCTATCATGCCTGGTACTTAATAGACACTTAATAGGTATTTTTGAATGACTGAATAAGCAGGGTCTTACCTGGTGAGAAGACTGGAATTTCAGTCTGGGAGAGGATGTCTCTTGAGAGTAGGGGGTAGCTCCCACAACAAACCGGGGGAAAGGGAAAGGGGGAGTCTGCTGGCCCAAGACACCAGAACCCTGGGCATGAAAAAGTCGATCTCTCAGCTGCTGAACTGGTGGCTATAAAAGTTACAATAATGAAAGACTGTGTTGAGTAAAATTAAAACAAGCAAACATCCTCTCTTATAAGCCTAGCCTCACATAGCTTTTAAACCTCAGCTGACCCTCAACATTTTAGCCATCTCAGAGAACTCAAAAGGTCTCTAACCCTTGCCAAAGTGACATCTGCCTTACTAGTTATTTCTCTTTGAAGGTTCAACTCAACTGTTTTAAACCACTGAGAAGCCTTCTTCAGCTTCTCCAGACAAAGCCAGCCCCTTGCCTGTGAAGTCCCACAATGCTTAGTATAAGCTTCTGTTATGGCAGGATAAATTATTGACATCTGGTTTTTCTCCAAGAGACTGTGAACTTCCTGAAGGACTAGGTCTTATTTATCCTGGGAGCTTTAGCATTTAGCATAGTGCCTGTAACACAGAAGTGCTCAGCCAGTGTTAAGATGACTGAAAGAAATGGTTTGCTCTCTCCACATGCTCCCACTCACCTGAGCACAGTCTCTGGGTAGGTAGCTCATGGCAGTGGCCAGGCTGCCCTGGGCTGCCAGGAGGTTGGCATACTGAGTGATTCTGTAGGTTGTGGCAGGGCCTGGGTTCACCCCATCAGGACCCCGCAGTAGCTCCAAGCTCCTGTTAAGGACCATCACTTTCTCCATCAGGTCCTGGAGGGACAAAAAAAAGGGCAGTCAGTCCTCATCAATGCACACCCTGCTCTCTTAGCTCAGGCAGCTCAACCAAGGACTTCCCTACTATGGATAGCAGGTGATGATATATGACATGTAAGAGACATGACAGCTAGAGAAGGGCCACTTGGCTTCACCTCCCAAGCTGTTTGGGTCTTACACTCTTGTACATTTCTGCCTCTTCATTTTGGATTCTTTACCTTTTATGCTAATACATCTCAATTTCAGATTCTGTTATCCTTTTATTTCATGTGTGACTTTGTCTCCCCGTGACTGTGATCACCATCTTCTCTGGGCAACCGCAGAGTATTTGGTACAACTTAGATTCATAGGACTTTTCATAGATGCTAATAGAAGACCCAAACTCAGCATTATTCAAATACAAAGTAAACTTATATACCCAAACCTGAAGTGGGAAAAAATTACGAAGTTAATATCTAAGCAGCTGCTACTCAATCTCCCTTGACTGAGAAGGAGGGAAGATGACAGCTTATCCATGGAAAAGGTCCCAGACTTTGAGGGCCCTTCCCTCTTCCCTAAAACTCCTGATTCCAGCCTGGATACCTAGAAGACCCACCTCTGATGTCCCTGCAATCTCCACTTCCAGCCTCTCCTGAAGGCCTGGTATGGCGGGACCAGGGCCCTGAAGTGAAGGGGTACCTGTAAAGCCATGGGGGATGAAGCCGGCTGGCATCTTGCCCAGCACTCCACCAGCCGCTCCACGCTCCCTGAGCACACGTAGCAGAGTCTGGCTTCAGAGGCGAGAGCCCAGCCACTCTCCTGCTCCATACGAGTTCCCAGCCTGTCTGCAGAGAGATAGAAGCTTCTTAAAATGGCACAGCTTCCCTGTGCTTCTCCTCCTCCTCCTGTTTGAAAACAGGTGGGGGACCATGAGCTATGGGACAAGTAGTCACAGTGGCTTTAAGACAACACTGAGGTTAATCTTGCTCTGCAGTGAGGGGCAAAGCTTTTGCACTGAGATCTGACAAGAAAAAGTAAGAGGACAATAAATGCCCTCCACAGAAAGCAGAGATGCACTCTAGTGCCTGACGACATGGCTTGGCCTCCCAGAGTTCAGGCTGCGCCTCTGTCTCCTCCCTCAGTGTGTCCACTGACTCCATGCTAGTCACACCACTCCATCCTGGAGCCAAGGGCCACCTACCACAGAGCTCGGGGAATTTCTCTGGCTCTGAGTATGTCAGCAGCAAGGCCAGAGCCTCTCTCCAGTTCTTCAGGCTACAGGCACACACCATGTCTTTCCAATTCTTCTGTATAATGCAGGCTAGCAGCTATAATGGGCAGTGAGGGAAGGAGGCCGTCAGCTGTTCATGCAGCACAGGCAGCAGGAGTCACACACAGGGATGTGCTGAGACAAGCCCCTGCTAAGCAGCCTTCCTGTTTGACCACTGACTAGGGGCTCGGGGTAAGGTAAGGGTGGTTGGAGTAGGAGGGGAGAGAGGCAGATCCTCTAAACGCCAGTCCCGTAGTGTGGACAGCCACTTGACAAGGTCCAAGTAATCCCTTCCTCCTCCTCTCTGCATGGTGGGCAGTTACCGGGGCGATTCCGGTTTTCTTCTTGGCCAAGTAGCACTCCTGTGCTTGCTTCAGCAGATCTGCACCTCCAGCCTGGGCCAGGATGATGGCATCAGCAAAGCGCTCTTCCTTCAGACACAGCTCCACAGCAGGGCCCAGTTCTCCAAGCAGGAGAGCCCGGCTCAGGAGTCCCTCTGTGTCTGCAGGCAGAGCATCCCCTCTGTATCAGCCTGCCCTCAGACCAGCGCTTTCTGTGCCCACCTCCTATACCCTGCCTCCCTGACCCCTCACCCCGAACTCCCAAGATTCATTCCTTCACAACAAAATGCAGGGGGGTGTCCGTGGGTGCCCAGGTCCAGTGGTAAATCTCTAAGAACAGAACCAAAGACAAGGGAGGGACTTGTGGCAGCATCACAGGTGTGCCATGTGTTTGCTCAACAACAAGAGGGTCACAGTTCTTTAAGCAGGAAGACTGAAGGATGAAGACTACCTTGGTAGAAGGCCTTCCATATGAAGGACCCATTCATGAAAATCTTCAGCCAGAGACAGCTCTGACTGGTACAGGACCACCCAGCATTTGTGATCATGAGGGGAAGCAGGAAGCCAGGGACAAGAAGGCAGGGTCTTCAAGTCTCGAGAACTCTGAGCCCACCTACCCCCACACAGAGGGTTCCTCTCCCTCGAGGTCAGGATACCTTCTGTGATGGGGATCTCCCATGGAGTCATGTTTTGAGGGATCAGCTCATCAAAGAAGGCTGAGGAGGCTGAGGCTTCCCAGGTAGTATGTTTGGAGGTCTGTATGAAGAAGGACAAAAGTGGCTACTTGGGAAATGAGCCTAGAAGACAGAGAGCTGGCTTAGTTGCTCTCTTTGAGAGTGCTATTAAGAGTTGTCCCTTCAATAGAAATAAAAGCAAAAATAAACAAATGGGACATAATCAAACTTGCAAGCTTATGCACAGCAAAGAAAAACAAAAGACAATATACAGAATGGGAGAAAATATTTACAAATGATGTGACTGACAAGGGCTTAATTTCCAAAATATACAAAACAGCTCATACAATTCAACAACAACAAAGAACAACTCAACAGAAAAATGGACAGACAACCTAAACAGATATTTTTCCAAAGAAGACATACAAATGGTCAACAAGCACATGAAAAGATGCTCAATTATTGAGAGATGCAAATCAAAACAACAGTGAGAGATTACATTACACTAAACAGAATGGCCATCATTAAAACATCTACAAATAAATGCTGGAGAGGGTATGGAGAAAAGGGAACCCTCCTACACTGTTGGTGGGAATGTAAGCTGGTGTAGCCAAAACAGTATGGAGGTTCCTTAAAAAACTAGAGTCTCCATATGATCTAGCAATCCCTCTCCTGAGCATATATATGGACAAAACTATAACTCAAAAAGATACATGCATCCCTATATTCACAGCAGCACTATTCACAACAGCCAAGACAGGAAACAACTTAAACATTCACTAACAGATGAACAGACAAAGAGGATGTGATACATATACAATGGAATACTACTCAGCCATAAAAAATGAAATAATGCCATTTGTAGCAAGATGAAGAAAGACAAATACCAAGTGATATCATTTATATGTGAAATCTGAAATATGACACAAATGAACTTCTCTATGAAACAGAAACAGACTCATGGACATAGAGAACAGACTTGTGGTTGCCAAGGGGGAGGGAGGTGAGGAAGGGATGGAGTGGGAGCGTGGGATTAGCAGATGCAAACTAATGTACATAGGATGGATAAACAAGGTTCTACTGTACAGCACGGGGAATTATATTCAGTATCTTGTGATAAACTATAATGGAAAAGAATATAAAAAAGAATGTATGTATATATATATACACACATAACTAAATCACTTTGTAGTACAGCAGAAATTAACACAACATTGTAAATCAACTATATTTCAATTAGAAAAAAAAAAAGAGTTGGCCTTTAATGGGTAAAGCTAAAAGAATAACCAGGTAAAGTTTGGGAAGTGCTATACTTCATGGTTAAAAGAGCTCCACTCCTAGCTCCAAACCTTATGGGTTCTGTGTCTTGTCCTGGTTCTAAATGAGTGAGGAGTTTGAAAACTTCCACAGAAGTTGAGCATTTATTAAGAGCAAAATGAAGGGCTAGGAGGGGCAAGATTCCCTAAGGGCAGGTTTTCTATGTTACCCTAGATGGGGCTGGCTGGGCTCCTTCCATACCTGTAAGGAGAAGGCCTGTTGTCTGTTACTGTTGAGGTCATCTTCCTTGGACTGAGGGCTCTCATCCAGCCTCAAATCTCTCCTCAACCATGTGGCTACCTGCAGGGAGAAACATATGAATACCACTCTTCCCAGCATGAGATCAAATAAATATTAAGCTTTTCTTCCCACCTTCATATTCCACCAACTGGACTTACTAAGATCTTTGTACTATTTTCCTGGGAAACAGAATAACTCCAGGAGGTAAAATGCTCATATATGCATTATGGAAGCCCAGGAAGAGGTATTCTGAGATGGTTTCCACCGGCAGGATTCTCTTTTTCTGCAACAAACACATATTTCTGATGTGAAAGCAGCTTACCTTCTTCTGAAGTTCATCTTTACTGTATCCTAATAGCTTCAGGAATTTCATTCTGGAGTCCTCCTCTAAAGTCACCTAGGAGCCACAGAACACAGAAATGTCCATTAAATGAATGTGAATGACTCTCTCCTGCACCAGTTGGACATCTGTGCTAGTGTACCCCCAAATGTAGCTCTACCAGAAGTGCCCCCTGAGGCCAACACCATCTCTCCCCTCTTTCCACAGACTTGATTCCTGTGGGGTTATGGGTAGATGTGTTAATAAACCCTTTCTCCCTTCTGCATGAGAACTGGACCTTCAAGTTGACTTCCTAGATCTATTATGCTGGTACCCTGATAAGAGTAAAATGTCAGCTAGTGTTTCTAGGCAACACTGCTTGTGACTGGTAAATTGCATCTGGACTGGAACTATGTAAACTATAAATAATTGATATGGACACCATGCTATGGGCTTCCCTGATAGCAAGGACTCTTGTACTAAACAAATCCCTTGCAGGAACCCTAGAAGTTATGCTTCTGGAGTTCATAAGAGAGATATTGGCCCTTGTGGGCCTGAGGCTTCTGAGCCAGGGCAGCTAACACACCAGCTTGATGTATATCTTATCTTCTTGCACCTGAGCTGTCTTCTGAGGAGCTGAAGGGGAGAACTCTACACTGCTGCATGGACTGCAACAAGGACTCCTGCAGAAGAGAACCACTTGATGCAGTCCTGTGAATCTAAATAGCTAGGTGAGAAGACTCCTAAGTAGAAGTTGCATGGATGTGGTAAACAGTAAGCTTACCTACTCATGTTCCAGACACTGAGGGCCAAGGTTTCCTGAAGCCCTATCCTAATGGGTTAGCTGAGTTGGGCCCTTCATTTATTCCACACTGAACCATAGTCTTTCACAAAGTCTCTCAGGGACCCCTCCTTCTTCTATGCTCTTCTGGAAATGCTTATCCACACTCAGCTCCAGAACTATTATGATAGACAGCTCTTGCATAGCTTTAAATCAGACTCCTCTCTGTCCTATGGGCGCCAGTGCCTCCTTTGTTCAGCAGAGTAAAGGCTGAACTCTCGATTATTCCCTCTACCCTTTCCCACCCCATCATTCCTGGAGCTATTACCTGTATCTTGCTTACAGCAAAAGCATTATTTCTTATTATCTTCCTCCCACATCTTTTTCCAGCTTCACTCTACAGTTGATGATCTTTCTCACATTCTTTTCCTCTTCTCAGACTTCTGGTATCTACCTTCATAAAGTTCTAGCACAGACTCCGATTTCTTCTCAAAATCCCCAGAAAAAATCCTTTTTTGCATTCTACTTTATAATCCCAAAGATCTGATTAATCCTCTCACTGCCTGTCCAGTTGCTTCTTCTTCTTCCTTTAGCTCTCTCATGCATTCACTTCGATAAGTAAAGCACTTCTCCTCGTGTCATAAGCAACCTGAAATTGGATTGACACTGGAACTGAAGCCATGCTTCCAGAGTAGAGTGGGACTTGAGCCCGCCACAATGACTTGCCTTGGGTTACCTGATAAAACTCAAAGCCTTCCAGCTGATCTTCTTCCCTTCCTACTGCCCCATGGCATGGCACTGGAAAAGCCTTCACCTTGGATCTGGTAAAGTACCCAGGACATCAGCAGTAGTAGAAAAAAGGCCAATGTCACTTGTATTCCTCAGTTTCCCTAGCCATAGAGAGTCTCTGAGCCTCTGGTAAAATGAAGATTTTATTCCCAGGATGGGTGCTGTGTAGGAAAAAACCCAGCAGGGTTAAAGCCTCTGTAATCTGGGCCATAGGGTGGTTGTTGACAAAGGCTGGGGTATCTGGCTTTGGGGAGACACTTCTGAGCAGTCAGCCTTCAGGCTTCCTACCTTCAGGAACTGCCAGAGCATCTTTTCGCTTTGCAGTGATGCTTGCTGGATCTTGTTCTGACAGTAATTCAGGAGATTTCCTGATCCCAGGGCCTCCTGCAGCTCAGCTGACTGTGTCAGGAATTCAGGTTCTGTGGTGACCTGACTGATAAAGACTAGGCGGATGCAAGGTTGTGGCACCTGATGGACAGGGGTGCTGGGGAGGCCAAAGGTCACCAGCTTGCCCCCAAACTGATAAAGGAAAACAAGAAGAGTAGGGCAAAAATTAACACCAAGTCAGGATTACAGGGGAGGCTATCTATTGGTCAACCCTTAAAGATAGGAAAGCAGTTAAACCAAACAAACAAACAAACAAAAACTCCTGGGAGTGGAAAGAATCAGGAATTGAGTAGTGAATGTGCCCATATCCCAAAACCACCCCAGGACTTTCAGCACCATTAACTTAAAAGGTACAGTCCATGGTACTCCTTTCCTCACCTGTTCTGCTGCCATCATTCTCCCAGAGTTACATGATAGTTATCACTATCCCAGGCTGGGGGCTTCCCTGTGGCTCAGACGGTAAAGCGTCTGCCTGCAATGCGGGAGACCTGGGTTCGATCCCTGGGTCGGGAAGGTCCTCTGGAGAAGGAAATGGCAACCCACTCCAGTACTCTTGCCTGGAAAATCCCATGGACAGAGGAGCTTGGCAGACTACAGTCCATGGGGTTCCAAAGAATTGGACACGACTGATAGTTATCACCATCCCAGGTAACTCTGGACTAAACCCCTTGTCATTATCACAGTCTTTTTACCCACTGTAGCTGAGCAATAATAAAATCCTCCCGCTTCTTGTTCAGTGTCTCCCATTCCCTGTGCTAGCATTTTCCTCCTCCATTCCAAGCCCTAGACTACCACCCTTTTCCAGGAGCTTGTACTGGTTTCACAAGGCCACGGGAGAGAGTTTAAGCTCCTCTGCCTATAATGCACAAAATCTTTCAAAATCAGGACCAGACCTGCCTCTCTAGCACCGTTCTCTCTGTTCATTCACATGATCACTCTGTGTCTCCAAAGTGCCCAGTACATTCCTGCTTCTATGCCTCCATCCACCACAACACTCCCACCTGAGCATCCTTCTCACCAAATTAGGTACTTTATTTTATAAAGCACCTGGCACGAAAGCAGAGCACAGTCAAGTTCCTTTACTCCAGCAGTTCTTCACCTTGGCTGCACATTAAAACCACCTGGGGAGTTGTCCAAAGTCACCAGGCTATACCCCAGACAAAAAATTTCAGAAGCTCTGGAGGTGGTACCCAGGCACTGGTCATTTTTTTAAAGTTCTTCAGTTTATTCCAATTGCAGTCATGGCCAGACAACTACTGCTCTACTCCCCAACCACTCACTACTCTCCCTCTTTAATGAGTGCTTCCAGCTAGAATTCTTCTCATGACTTCTATAGCAGAAAATCTATACTATAGATCAGTGCTAAACACAGTCATCTTAACTTTTGATTTGTATAATACTCAATAGTTTTACAAAGTATTTATATGTACTCTTTTTTGAATGCTAGATGGTATGGACTGTTTGCTAACCTCTGTTCTCCTAGGGCAGGAGAGGTGGGGGTATCAAGTTCTCAACTCTCTTCCTCCTGTTCTTCCTAAGAAGAGATTTCCATTTCTCCTTGGCCCTAGTCCCTAGCTGAGTCTCAGTGGACCACAGACAGAGGGACTGAGGGTTAAGAGGGGATGTTGGTGGGAGGCATGCAGGAAAATCCTTCTTTCTGCTGTCCCCCACTTGGAAAGGGGTTGGGTTTGGAATGTGAGAACAGTACAATAAACAATGTTTAGGGTAGTGTCCCTCATCCCCCATATATTGTCACACTGCTTATTTAACTTCTACGCACAGTACATCATTCAAAATGCTGGGCTGGATGAATCACAAACTGGAATTAAGATTCCTGGGAGAAATATCAACAGCTTCAGAAATGCATATGATACCACTCTAATGGCAGAAAGTGAAGAGGAACGAAAGAGCCTCTTGATGAAAGTAAAAGAAGAGAGTGCCAAAGCCGACTTAAAACGCAACATTCAAAAAACTAAGCTCATGGCATCCAGTTCCATCACATCATGGCAAAGAGAAGGGGAAAAAAGTGGAAGCAGTGACAGATTTTATTTCTTGGGCTCTAAAATCACTGTGGATGGTGACTGCATCCACAAAATTAAAAGATGCTTGCTTGTTGGAAGGAAACCTATGACAAACCTAGACAGAGTATTAAAAAGCAGAAACATCACTTTGCCAATAAAAATCCATATAGTCAAAGCTATGGTTTTCTAGTAGTCATGTACAGATGTGAGAACTGGACCATAAAGAAGGCTGAGCACTGAAGAATTGATGCTTTCGAATTATGGTGCCAGAGAAGACCTCTGAGAGTCCCTGGGACAGCAAGGAGATCAAACCAGTCAATCTTAAAGAAAATTAAAAAAAAGAAAAGAAAATCAACCCTGAATATTCATTGGAAGGACTGATGCCAAAGCTCCAATGCTTTGGCCACCTGATGCAAAGAGCCAACTCATTGGAAAAGACCCTGATGCTGGGAAAGACTGAGGGCAGAAGGAGAAGGCGGCGACAGAGGCTGAGATGGTTGGATGGCATCACTGACTCAATGGACATGAGTTTGAGCAAACTCCGGGAGATAGTGGAGGACAGAGCAGTGCCTGGTGTGCTACAGTCCATGGGGTTACAAAGAGTCTGACATGACTTAACAACTGAACAACAAGAACACCCCCACCCCCTAACCATCCATAGAGGTAAATGGGGGCTCTGTGTACATTTGGCCTTGAGTTTAAAAGGCAATGGCAGTGGGGAGGGTCAAAGGTTTTGAGCAGAGGAGAGGAGAAGATTTACATTCTTTCTCCTCTACTATCTATTCATTCCGTTCTTGCTTTGTATTCTAACCAGGAAAATCAGATGGAATGGCAGGCAGTTCTCCATAAGTGAGAGCTCAAAAGCAATCAATTCTTTTAGACAGGACTGGCACTGCAAGCAGGGTAAAGGGGTTGAGAAGAAAGCTTAGCAAATTGCTGCTTAAGCAATAAAATGGGACCTGATATGAGACTCGGGCAGTGAGAATCAACTTCTTATAGAACAGAGCTCCATGCTGGGCACACAGTAGGCTATACACACACACACTACACTTACAGCAAATGAAACACCTGCTGGCCTCCTCATCCATTTGGGGGGTTTTTTCAGGGGAGGTATCAATGATGCTTGGGCCACTTGCTTTGGCACCTGCAATGGTGGGAGAGGCTGGCCTTTGCTGAAGGAAGAAGAGATCTGGGGACAAAAGGACACCTGCATCACCGGTGTGAAGTGGTGGCTTAGCCAGGAACTCCACCTACAAAGTCCATTTTGGGAGGGATCCCTGAGATACCCAGTCTGGCCCACAAAAGTCAGGACTCTCATATTTCAGGGGGCTGGTAGTTTCAGATGCCCATGCAGCAGGCTCCTGGAAAGCCAACTGCATCCAATGTCTACAGTGAAGTGTGACACAAAATGTATCTATAGGAGACAGGGAGGTAAGTTCATTCTTCAAAATAGTGGAGGGTCCCAGCATGGAAGTCCAATTCCCCTGAAATACCACAAGGAACATTCAAGAACAAGAGTCAAGGTAAAGGCCTCCTTTGTATTGGGCAGGAACTGACATCCTTCCAGGAGGATGGACACTGGTGCAAAGGTTCACAAACCTGGGGTTCCTGAACCCAGGGCCCTAGTCTCCCAAGTCTTCAGTAGTCCCCACTTCTCCCCAAGCTTATGTCCTTTGTTCTGCCACTGAACAGAGACAGTCCCTTCCCTCCAGCATTTTCCACCAAGCCCTTCAAACCTTGTCAGCCTGTCTCATCTGCTGGACTTCCCAGCTCCTACCCATCACAGAGTATAAATTGATCCAGCCATCAAAGGAGGCAGCAGAGAACACCAAAGGGTCCCGAGGGCACCACTGCACATCAAAGCACCAGCTGCTCAGCGTGGGTAGTTTATACACCACCTATTGTGAGGGAACATAACCAAGAGGGAAACCCTGACTTAGGTAAGACAACTAGAGCACAGAGGTGCAGCTGGAACTGCCCTACCATCCCAGCATACCCACAGAAGGGCCAGCCTACCTCGCTGCTCCCCAGGTTCCAGCACAAGATCTGGTTGTCCTTGGCACTGCTGAGCAGCAGCTCAGCATCAGCCTGACTCCATGACACTGACAGGATCCCCCTAAAAAGGAAAGGAAAGAGGAACTAACATTTGTTGAATGCCTACTACGAGTAGCATGCCTTACATATCTTGGGTAAATGTCATCCCCTCAAAATAAGCAGTGTGGCTTCATTTTACAAATGAGGAAAATGAGGCTTGGGAAGAAACTGAGGAACTTGCAGCAGTCATGCAGCCAGAACCCAAGTCAAATTTCAGAGTATGGGCATAATGTGCTATAACCACTCTGCCACCCACAGGTCCCTGCAGGATGGCCTGCTTCTCTTCCCTGATTGTAGGGTAGGTAGAAATTCTGAATCAGCATGAATCAGGGAAGCACCCATTCCCATGGGTGCTTTTAGCCCAGGAGGGTAGTAAGGACCTAACTCTCAGAAGTCCCTGAGGAGGTACAAAGGCATGATTTTTGAGTTAGAAAGAACAGACTATGGGGCTGCTTCTTCTACTGTAGGCCCAAGAGCAAAGGCTTCAGAGGCAAGCCTGTTCACAGGAAAAACAGGAGCCAAGGTTCTTTTACTAAGAAGTCTTGGAGGAGGCAGCCTAATTAACTAAGAAATGAGCATGTCCTCAGATCAGAGCCTGGGGGCTCTCCCAGAGGAACTAAATATTGGCTCCAATATTCCTCATGACCCTACCCCCACTCACATGTCTGGAGGTTACATGGAATCTCAGGCTCTTTTCTATAACCTCAGGGTCTACAGGAACTCCTCTTGATTGGAAATGGGGCTAGAACTGGGTAACTGTGTGTTCACCAGGATGGCTCTGAAGCTGGGGAGAATGTCTGCTAGCCAAAGTGAGGCATGTATTGCCTTCTACCCAGGTCAGCTATGCCCTGCCCTCCACCAAGGATGACATGCTACCTGCTGTGACTCTCCAGCACCTTTAGGGGTGAGGAGGCAAAGCGCAAGTCCCACAGCTGAATTACTGGAAGACGATCATCTTCTGAACAAAGTACCAACTGGGTGGCTACGTCTGGGTGCCAGGCCAGGCCTGAGCAGTGCATCTGTGAACAAAGCAGATCCCAATGGGCAATACAACCTGACTTTTTATGAACCCTTTTTGTCAAGCTGAAATGGGACCTCTCTGAGGGTTTTATGTCTTTTCTTATGTAATCGGGAACACCATAGCCATTGGGAAACAAGTGATGACCATAAGCAAGGAGCACTAGAAGCCTCCAGATCAGCTCAGTTTGTTTTCTCTGAACTTTCCCTCTCAATAGGAAATCTACCACAGGGCTGAATCCACACATGTAACAGCTGAAAGCAGAACCCTGGCCTGGGGGAGAGCAGCTCCAATACTAGGTCTGAGAGAGACAGCAGAGCCTGAGCCTATATTCTGCCTGTATTCAACTCACCCGGTTGCTGTGATCACTGACTTTGATGATAGGTTCATTCTTCCTGAGATCCCACACGACTGCCTTGCCGCTGGGGTGAGCAGAAGACAGAATGTGTTGAACTTGACGGTTCCAAGACAGAGCCTTGACATCTTCTAGGGGCTGCTAAGGCAGAATGGGGCAAGGGGCGGGATGAGGACAACCTGTTACCCCGGACCAAGAGACAGTGGTCTGCCACTGCTCCCAACCACCCGCAGAAAAGCCAAGAGTAGACGCGGGGCTACCCAAACCATGCCAGTCTCAGGAAGCTGGAAAGGAAGTTTTCCAGAGAGGATCCTTTAGAAAATGATGTAGAAGCTGAAAGAAGGACAGGTGCACTTGGGTTTTACTCCTATCCCAAGATGCTCCTGAGAAGATCGAGTCAAGATTTTAAAAACAGCCTTCTCAACTATGACGAGAGAGAGAGGGAGAGGAGAAAGGTGAGGATAGGAAAGAGGGAAATATAGACACCCAAGACCCCCAGGGAGAATGAGGTAGAGAGAAAAGCCATTGATACTTTAGGACACAAGATGCTATCAAATTCATACTGAACTTACCTCACGATACTGTATGCATAAGAGAAAAGCCAGGAAGAAAAAGATGGGGGCCCAGTTATAGACTGACAAGACAGGTACACTCAGACACAGAGACAGAGGAGACCCCCAGCTGCACGGGGGAACAGAACACAAGGACAAAGCTGACCTTTCCACAAGAGGACAAGGGTGTATCTGGGTGTCCTACTCTTGCCCCTGGTTGGCTAAACCCAGGGCCCAGCCTTGCTTAAATTATACTGTGATAAATAGTACAGTCACCCCTTCTCTCAGTATCTTTTACTCCCCTCACTCTTGCCTTCCAGAAACTTCTAGGACAGTTAATGACCACAAGCCACTTCCACCCCATCCCTATTCCCCGACCTCCCACCAGTCCCCACCCACCTCCCTCCCTCTGTTATCTGGCTGGTAGGCAACATATTAGTCTGTGGAGCTTTACTGCCCTCCAGTGGTGAAGACTGAAATCTGTGCGCTGGCTGCCTCCAGAATTTAATTCTCCCTGGGAAAATCAGGTGCACACTTCTAAGCAGCAGCACCGGGAGCCTCCTCACCTGTGACTTGGATCCTGGGGTCATTGGCACACTCAGGTTATTCAAATCCCAAATGAAGATTTCAGAAGCACTGGCCCCTGAGGCAAGGAGGTTGCCCTGTATGAAAGAATATGCCTTTGGAGACACACCATCCCAGGAAGAGATGAGAGCAGAAAAAGGGGAAAGAGACCCACATTTGGGTCCAAAGCCACCCCCGTAACAACCTGGGAAGGCTCAGAGTTACAGACCAGAGGTCACAAGTAAACGCTTCCCTTCAGATCTGTTGCTCCATGCCTCCCAGGTCTGATCAACTGAGATGTAGTACCTGGAAAGGATTAAAGTCAAGGGCTCTGACAGCCCCCGAGTGCTTCTGTCTCCGGGCAATCACAGGCTCCTTTCCCGAAGATAAGATGTGGGTCACATTGTACAGAGTAAGCATGCCACTGTCCCCGCCGCCTGCAATGACCCCAGAGGCTTCCAGAAGCCCATTGCCAAAGCTCCCCCAGATCAGCTTGTGAAACCTACAAAGAGGAGGAACTGGCATCAGCAACAACTCAGGTCCACATCGGTCAGTAGAGAATGGGCATCTTTGTCAGCCTCTGCCATTACGCAGGCATCCCCACCCTTAGGGCCTGCCTGTCTCCTTCATTTCCCAGACGCAGAACAGAAGTCTCCTCTGCCTGGCCCTGCCCTTTGGCTGAGAAAAATACTTCAAATAGATTACTTCACTTAATCCTCCCAACTCAAATAACAATACTTATTGATAACTTCCTATGTACCAGGCACTGTTTTAAGTGCTTTACATGTATTAGCTGATCAACAATCCCATGAAGTATTTACCTTATTTTCAATTGAGGAAAGTGAGGCATAGAGAAGTTACAAAACTTCTGTTATACAGCTAGTAATTTTACTCCCATTTAACAGCTAGGAAATGACAGACTCAAGGTTCAAAGTCAGGCCCATCTTATGCTAAAGCCTGAGCTCTTAACCATCATAAAATATGGTCATCTATTGAGAGGAAGATCCAAACTCTACTACACCTGAATAGAAGCAGGTTCCCTAGGCCAACAGTTGCTGTCCCCTCTTAAATAGGAAGTGAGAAAAGATCTATAGACCTTCCCTTCCCATGCCATGCTCATGTGATTAGTCCACTGGATCTGCCATATGTATTCTGTGGGCCAGCCTTAGAGAAACACAGAGGCATGAAAAATAAATGCACTGTTTGGGAAACACTTTTCTGGCTTTCTGAGCATCTTGCATTCTGGCACACAAGAAAGAGATGGACCCTGGGCTCCCTGGCCAAGAATAGGTCCTCTGAAAAGCCCGTAGGGAAGGCATGTGATACCCCCAATGCCTCACAGGTGGTCTTCCTTCCATTTCACAGCTGTTAGCCAAGGATATTTCCACAGCCCTTCCAAGAAGGCAAATTTCACACTGAATAATGTCATGTAAGATCCCTAACTGAAATTAAATGTTTCCACACTCTGGGAACAGTCAGCAAAGAAACTGAATGGGGAAATCAGGCAGGAACCTGTCTAGCCAGTCCTTAGATCAGAGCCAACCTCTCAGAAGTGAAGAGTTGAGCACTAATTCAATAAGGTCAGCATCTGAACAGAAACAGCACAGCTGAACAAAGAGTGGGTCTAAAGCTACTGTCAGAAAGGCTATGTATTCTAAAGTTATGCTGATGTTAACATGGCAGAAGAACATGTTCCATGCTGGCTCCAGAGGATGCATGTCATCCAGGGGCTAGAGCTCAGCATGGGCAGAGAGCAAGACAACAGATTACCCAGAGAAGCCTGAAACAGGTCACACAAGAGGAAGGTACGCCCGGGGGAACTCACATGGGAACGCAGTGACCTCGGTATGGTCATAGCACATGACTTACAAATCAGAGTGAAAGGTACCTGAGACCTCAAAGGAGTCACCACAGGGTTAGAGAAGAGGGCCCAGTTACTTTAGAGTGGCTGAACTGCAGAATACAGGGTGCGACAAAATCATTATTCTTTGTGTAGGCATGTAGAAAGTACATTCCTATTGTTAACACTTCACTGAGAGTGGAACCGGAGCCTGAATAGCTGTGATAGACAACACCTGGGAGAGGGGAACACCTGGGAAAGCCTGGCAAAGAAGACTTGGTTGTGTGTGTGTATGTACAAAGAGAGCACACAAGATGTGAGCAAATGTTATGTTAAAACATAACAACTGATGAGTCTAAGTGAAGGTGTGTGTGCTTAGTTGCTCAGTCATGTCTGACTCTTTGCAACCCATGAATTGCAGCCCGCCAGGCTCCTCTGTCCATGGGATTTCCCAGGCAAGAAGACTGGAGTGGTTGGTTTTTCCTTTTCCAGGGGATCTTCCTGACCCAGGGATCAAACCTGCGTCTTCTGAGTCTCTTGCATTGCAGGTGGATTCTTTACCATTGAGCCACCTGGGAAGCCTTCATCATTGTAATATTCTGCAATTTTTCTATGTTTGAATATTTTGAAAACAAAAAGTTATAAAACAACAACAAAACAGATGGCCTGAAAATAGGAACTAAAAGATTTAAGGAGAAGGTATAGGGAGAAGAGTTTGTATAGGAAGGTGGGAACTTGGCAAACATGAAAATACAGGTGGAATTCTTTGCTAAAGAGTGACAGGCATCACAGAATGACAGGAGGCACCTGAAGAAAATACACGTTCCTTGACTCCCTCCCAGGCCTTCTGAAGCAGAATTTCCAGACTTAGGCCTTTAGGATCCACATTGTTAACAAGTGCCCCCCGTGATTCTAACAAGTTGCCAAAGTTGAGATACATCAGGCTGCATACCAGCCTAGAACAACAGGAAGTAGTTGAATTCATAAAGAAAGAACTAGCCCCAACAATCAACTCATGGCTACACTCTGGTAAAAAGACAAGGCTGGTGGGAATAAACTGAGACCTGTGAGATCAGATTATCGTACCAGCTAAGCTCACCGGAGGCCAAGCTTCAGCTGCCATAGGATTAGGAATACATGCTATATAAATGATTGTTCCCATGATTTCTGTACTTCTCTATTTTGGATTTTTATTTTATTTGCTTAAAGTTCCTTATGAAAAACCCCAACATCATGTTAGTGGGTTAAAGTGAAAATGAGTTTGTCCACATCCTGGCCAAAATAACTGAGGAAATCCAAGTTTCCTTGGAAGTTAAACAGAGCAGTGAGGGCAGTGCTCCAAGCTGGAGGATGAGGACAGTGGGGTGGAGCAATGGATGTCTGAGAGGAGAACTACTTTTCTGAATGCCTAGTATGCACTAGGCTACAATGTGCTGACTATATATCTCAAATTTACAGTAGAGAAAACGGTCAGAGAAGTTAAAATAAGGTGTCCAATAGGACAGAATATGGCAAAGCTGGGATTTGAACCCAACAACAAAGCCCATGCTCTCTCTACTCTGTGATCCTGATGTCTCTAAAGAGAAGGCAAGTCTTAGAAACAAGAAAACTAGGAGTGGTAACAAAATGATCTCTTAACTGCTTGGTGTTATCCCTTACAGAGGTACCTAAAGAGGGGTCATAGTGCCCCCCAAGAAACTGAACTGACATAAATGTATTGGAAGATAGATCACCTACTTTCTCCATGTTACTAGATGATGAGTCAGACATAGGTTACAGAGGCCACTCAGAGATCTAGAACGTCAGTGTAGACAGAGCTAGGGTGCAGCAAATCACCCACTGACCTCTGAACTCATTCAGGCATAGGCAGCCGTGTCCTCAACTCAAAAGTCAATACATAAACAATGTATTATTCTCCCTCAAAGCTTTCTTCTTGAGTGGGATTCATCTAACAAACCAAACATCACTTGCATCAGTGCACATGCTAATCCATATGGATGCTGACTGCATCCAGCAGCATTTATCCATACGCTCTCTTCTATTTATAGATATCTCTTATCTACGCTCAAACACGCATCGCTTTCAGAACATTCCTTTCAGTCAGGTATTTCTAAGTAGATAATACTTCTCTGATGCATCATGGATTGAGTATAAGGGGATCTTCAGGATTCAAATGTAGTTGAGGCCTGGGTCTGGTAAAAAGTTCTGGAAATGGAAGGGGGAAGATTTTGAAAAGTATGTTAAATCAATAATAAGAGAGATACAGAGAGGGTTTTGTTTTGTTTTGTTTTAAGGGAAAAAGGAAGGAAATTAAGCTAGAAAAAGGGAAGAATATAAGACCTAAATTTGGAGTTCAGTAGGTTCTTAGAAGTCATTTTATACAACCTCTTCTTTATACATAAGTGAGGAAACCTAAGATCACTGATGGAATTAAATTTGCCCGAAGTTACATAGTTTTAGGCAAGGCAAAAATCCAACACAACTGTGCTTTCTATTAAACCATGCAGAAGATGACACAGAAAAGAGGAAAGCATAAAGCAAAGGATGGGTTGACCTTTATCTACCCTGATCATTTTGGTCAATTGTTTGTGATGCTGACTTTTGAGTAAGTGACCTAACCTACTAACCTAACTCAGAAGAAGTGAGTGCCTTAGACCCTGGAGTGTCTAAGATGATTTCTTCAGAAAGGCTTCAATAGAACTGCATCAAAGGTAATCCCCTAGGTCTTCGAGAATGAGAATCAGTCTTGAGACACAATTATAGAGGTGAAAAAAGGAAGCTGTAAACCTAGTTGACTGCAAAACAGATTGTTACCCTTGAAAAGCTCTTCAGGCACTAACAGAAGACTGACCATAACTAACTGAAGTGGTGGATAAGACTGCTCAGTTTGGTAATCCATAAGTTTTTAATATCACTCATTTATTCCACAGATATTTTTTCAACTACCTAATGCCAGGCACTATTCTAGATGCTAGAGATACAGCAGTAAATAAAATAGACAAAAATCTCTGCCTATGTGGTTCTCAGGATTCAGTTTCAAGGTTTCTTAAGCAATTAGCTCTTTCTTAAGAACTCTTGGCCTTAAGGAGCCACTACTGTGCTGAAGCTGCTATTGGCTGGTTGAAGAAAAGAGCCCTTGCCCACTGCCCCTTTTCTTATTTTCAGGAGTATAAACATGATTAAATTAGCTCTCCTCTTTCAGCAGCCCTTTCTGAAATGCCTACTTACAGGCTAACAATATCTCATCATTACTGGTAAAATTGCTAAGGCCTTTCTTCAAAAGGTACAGGTACTGGAAATACAAAGAAATGTAAAAAACTGCAAAATAAGGGATACTGTAATAAAGTGATAAAGGAGTGCTAAATAATAAAGGAGTGATAAAGTGATATACGAGCTCAAGAAAGTAAGAAGAATAACTAATTTTCATTATTAAAGTTAAGCCATGAAAAGAAAGAGGAGGGTACTTCTAAGTATCTTAATCTAATCACTCAGATGAACCAAAAAATGAATAAGATGAAAAGTTACATAACAGACCAGCAATCTCTTACAGGGGATGGCAAGAAAATCCTCTGGGCTGTAAGAAAAGAATTTATATTTTTATATTAAAAAATAATACAGTAATACATGTATATTATTTATATTGAAAATATACTTGAGTGCAGTAAATATTCACATTTCTCCTGATGGTGCAAAAATCTGGGGATCACTGATTCAGACTATAAGCCTCATCTTTACAAAACTAATAAAAGAACAGTTGAATAATAGAAAGCAGGTCTTGGAGTCAGCTAGGACTAGACTTAAATTCTAGCTTCCCTGGGTTTTGGTTCTCTTCTATGTAAAATCGGAATAATGGTATTTATTGGCTAGGCTTATTTTGAGAAATGAATACAATATACAGAGCCCCAGCATAGTGCCTGGCATGTGTACACAGGCTCAGTGAATGTTCATACCCAGCCCTGTAAGTCTGCCAGAGCCATGAAATCCATGAGTGACCAATCAGTGCCTGACAGCAATGAGGAGAGGCCCATTCATTCGCCTCTCATTGGCAGAAAAGGGAGACACTGTGTATGGCTGTTATTTTCACAAGAGCCAAGGGAGGAAGAAGCCAACAACTCTGGGTTCCAGAGATAGACCAGGTACTTGTGGGTCCAGGCTTGTGTGAGGCGTCTCTATCACATCATTCTGCCTTATGCTGCTGCTGACCACAAAGGTTCGAATGGGAGTTTTCAAACTCTTCTTGCAAAATAAACCCAGAATTAACTTCTCTCTAACTTAAAGATCATTCTCCCCTCACTTGTCTCCTCATGAGCCCTGAGAAGCACACACCGCTCCTGAGATTCCCCATCAAAGTCTATATCAGGATCTGCCCTGCATTCCCATCAACAGTTCAGACATAGTACCTGCTGGAGGCAGAAAGGACTCCCTTGCGTTTCAAGTCCAGAGAGGGGTCCCTGAAATCAACCTCAAAGATTTCCAATGTGCCATTTGTACTAAAGGAGGCATCTAGCTGCTGGGCAGATGTTCCTAGGCACAAGAAAAGTCAGGAAAAGGCAGCATGTGAGCAACAATATATGCATGCATTTGGGGTATAAATGGTTAGGCATTAGAGAAAAGGAGGAATAGGAGAGAACTGGATATACCCTTTTTCAAGTGGTACCTCCAAAAAAAATCAAGAAAGCATGAGGTGCTTAGCCTTGAGCCATAATCCAAGATTGTTTCCAGGGACCAAAACTCCTAATATCCCCTTGCTTACGCTGCTGGTCAACCCCACCTTTCCATGACTCTGAAACTTTCTCTGAAGCACAGTCAAGAACACTGGATACTAAGTTTCCCTTCAGCCTATTCAGTGGATCGTCATCTACAGTACCACCATACCTGTGGCCAGATACACAGGGTACTGGCTGGCTGGGCTCCAAACTTGGACGGCTTGTCGCTCAAGCTCCTTCAGCTTCATGGTCTGTCCTGTAGGTGGCAGAAAAGTGACATGATCCTCAGCCTACTGAAAACAACACTAGAAGCCACAAGCTTTTGGGCCAGATCAAGGGAACACCTGTGGACACGAGCACCTGTTTTTCTCGCTCCACCATAGGATGGAGTATTTGAGGGCAATACAGGGTGACAAATACATAATCGACTGCAGATCTGTAATGACAATTCAGTTACCCAGTTGGACAGGGAAACCTGGTGTGCTGCAGTCCACGGGGTCGCAGACAGTTGGACACAACTGAGCTACTGAACTGAACTTACCCAGTTACTGAAATCTAGTGCTTTAAATCCTAAAAGATACTGAACCACACTGGTTGCCACAGGCCCAATGGTGATGATGACCATCAAACCAGAAAATCTCAGTCACTCTATCCATTCCCTTGGTTTTAAACATTATCCATATGCTGATGACTGCCAAATTTCTATCAGCAACACAATCTCTCCTCTGAGTTACAAGTTCTTATATACAACTGCCATTTATACAAGTTCTTATATACAACTGCTAATCAAATATTTCCACTTGGGTATAGTAAAGATACCTAAAAGTTAGTCTATCTAAAATGGAATTCTCTATTCTACCATCTCACCCCTTCATCTGTTGTTCCTTCAGGTTTCTTCATTTCAGCAAACAGCCAATTGCTCAACCTCAAAACCTGCAAATCACCCTAGATCCCTTCTTCTCCTCTCTTTCCCTTCGAATCTATCATTAAGTCTTCCAGATTTTACCTCCAAAATAAATCTTAATCTATTTTTCTCCATCTTCACCAGCACTACTCTATTTGAAGACACTATCATCTATCACCTAGATTACTGGTCATCTCCATCACCCAATTCTTTCTTTGCATAGAGTAAGAGTAAACTTTTAAAATAAAAAATAGGATTTTGGCATTCCACGCTTAAAGTTTTTCAGTGGCTTCTATCACACTCAATAAGACACAAACCCCCTTTAGCCCTGCTCACAACTACCACTTCAACTTCCTCTCTTGCTACTCTCCCCCTTACTTATTTGGTTCCATCTGCATTAGTCTTTTCTTTTAATTTCTTGACTTTTCCCCACTTTAGAGCTTTGTAAATTAGGTTTGCTATACTTTGAAAGCTTTTTATTTCATTCTCTGAGTAAGTGGTTCCTTACCACATCTTTCAGGGCTCAGCTTCTCACCTCCTCAAGGTGAGTCACCCAATCCAAAACAGTATTTTTTGCTTCTTAGCAATTTGAAATTGTATATTCATTTACATCTACATTGTTGGTGTTGTACACTAATAAGTAAACTTCATAAAGGCTACCATTGTGTCTGCTTTGCTCACCATGTTATACCTAGTGTCAGAACAATGTTTAGCACATAGTAAGTGTTCAATAATATTTTATGAATGAATGCAGACATTTATTTTAACTTGGGTTTCCAAACCAATTCTAACACATACTCAAGGTGCCATTCCAACAGGCTAGCAAAGCAGCAGGAAAGTTAAAAAAACAAAAACAAAAAAACAACTTCATGGAGTAAACTTGGGACCCACTGTGACCTGCTTGAGCAAGCCACAGCCAGGTTAGTCTTCACCAAAAAAACCCAAAAGCTTTTTTAATCTCGAATGTACTGTCCAGCTTGAAGAAAGCTTAGGGCTGCCAACTCAACCAAGACTTCCCAGGCACCTCTAAACACTTGAGGCTATACCAGGACCCCTCTGACGAGTTTGCACATCATACTATACGGTCACCAGTGCCACCTGCTGGTCAAGATTATTTTCACGTTTCTGGAGAAAGATCTCTTTAAGTGGAAGCTACAATTAGCTCAGTGCACTTAACGTGCACCTCCCATTTAATTCTAACAATGGTTCCGTGCTGTTACTATCCCCATTTTACAGGGAAGAAAACTAGCTAGGCCAAGCTGTGAACCCCAACCAGCCTTCAGAGCCCGTTGCTTTTAACCATTATACCAGTCTAAAGTAAACTCCATAGTGTTTAAATCCCAGACAGCCTACAAATTGAGAAGATAGGCTTGTCATCTACTTTGTTCAGAGACAACTGTTGGCAAAAATGGTCCCCGATGCGGTCAGAATGGCGGGGCCTGGGAGCGTCAAAGGTGGGGAGAGCTATGGATCATGTAACCAAGAGCTGGATACACTGGTGCAGTGAAGGGGGAAAGCCAGCCTTCCTTGGCTGTCCACTCCCTCTCTGGAGGACTGTCGGCCTTCCCCGCGGCTCACCGGCGTCAGCACCGACGGGCGTTTTCGCCCGGGTGGGACGCACAGACCCGCGGCCGACTCTGGGCCCCGGACAGGGGGGAAGTGCGAGGGCAGCGCTGGAGAGAGATCGTCGTCGGGCTGCGGGGCCCGGGCGCCGCAAGGAGAGTGAGCCGGCTGCAGTCCGAGAGCAGGGCGGGCATCGTGGGACCCCCTGAGAGGCACACCGGCTGGAGCCCCCAGGCGGGAGCCGGGTGGGCCGGGGTCTCCGCCGAGGACGAGCGCCCCCCGACTCTCGCGAGAGAGGAACCGCGCTCTGGGTCCTCGGCGCGCCTTCTGCTCTCAGGAGCCCCGGACAGGCGGGGAAAACCAACCTGCGCGGAGAGTCCAGCTCACTGGTCTGGCGTCGCAGAGCTGGAGTTGGAGACGGTTTCCTCAGGGCTTTGGAGCTCAGCGGGTGCTGTGGACGGCGGCTGCGGAGGGCCAAAAGTAGTCCAGGCAGCGGCACCGCCGCCCACAGGCGCCGCCAGACGCCAGGCCCGAAACCCGGACAACCCACGGAGAACGTTCCCTCGTAGAAATGAAGCTTTTAATGGGGCTTCCCTCATCTGTCCTGTGATTATGCAGTGGGTCAGATCCCACGACTATTAAAGTTCTGGGGTATTCGAGTTAGGCTCCGGGAGTATCCTCTGAAAAGGGAAAAATACTAATTGAAGCGGAAAAGACCTGGTCCTAGCTCCAGGAGCGCTCTGTGGAATCCACTAAGCTGAAAAGGTGAAAAGCAATCGAGGCCAGGTGGGGCTAGCGATAACCCACCTACTAATGTAGGAGACGTGAGACGCGGCTTCCTTCTCTGGGTTGGGAAGACTCCCTGGAGGAGAGCATGGCAACCCACTCCAGTATCCTTGTCTGGAGAAGCCTGTGGACAGAAGCACCTAGCGGGCTACAGTACACAGGGTCACACGGAATCGGTCACGACTGAAACGACTTAGCCCGCACAGGCCTTAACACCAGAGTGACTTTCTGCGGCAGACCAAAAACTGGTGCTCCCAAGGGCTGTGGATGGGCGGAGGGCGAGGTACTGTAGACCAGGGGCTACCCGGAAGGTATCAGAGACGAGACAGGTGTTACATGTTTAAGTTTGACGAAGATAGGTGATGTCCCAACAAGGAGAAAAGGGCCCAACAGACTGATAGGCACCCTGGCATTTCCCATACTGTGAATGAAAGCGGCCACTGTTGGGGAAGTGGGCTGACTACAGATTGTGGAATACTAATTCCACTCTGCAGGTAATTGGGAGTTACTGAAAATTATAGGTAGATACGGCAGCTTAGGGGTAAAGAAGCTGCCTGCTAATGCAGGAGACGCTGGTTTGATCCCTGGGTTGGGAAGATCCCCTGGAGAAGCAAAAGGCAACCCACTCCAGTATTTTTTTCCCTGGGAAATACCGTGGACAGAGTCTGGCAGAGTGTAGCCCATGGGGTTGCAAGAGTTGGAACCAACTTAGTGACTGAACAACATGCAGTAAGATTATATCACTAGCAATATGGATCCCCTTACAGAGAAAATAGAACTGGAGGCAGGGAATCCAATTAGGAGACTAACAGAACAATTCAGGTACCAGGTGATGAACTCTTGGATTAACAGATTGTAATAGCTGAACAGGCTCTTGTGACTGATATAGGTAAACAGTTGGCAGGGGTATCTGTGATCATATATATCTATTGATTGAGGGAATTATGGCATTTCCAAATAAAATGTTCTGTAGGCAGCTGAAGATTTTAGACCTAAGTTATTTTGATGCAAAAGTTATAATGCATGAATTCTACTATAGTCCAGTCTGATATACCTCCAAAAATGGTGAGCTGATTATGAATGGGCCCCAAGTCTTTGTGACACAGCTCTGAATTTCCTTTTCACATGGATATGGGAGTTTTGAACTCAGAACAGAAAAGAATATAGGGTACTGGTGGTGCCTGCCCACTCTTTTTATGTACTATTTCTTGAATTTCTCAGCACAACAGTGGATAACAAACAGGATTGAAAACTGAACCTCAGGCAACAACTCAAAGGAGGGAATGAGGCCAAGGTGTGACTGAAGTGTTCTGAAAGAAATCTGAAGCAAAGGCATAAGGTTAGTTTCAAGTAGGACATGATTAAAAAAACACAAAACACTCTTCCTGCAACTGGGACATTTTAGAAATTCTTTTCACCTTGTTTTATAAATGCTAGTCTTCTCTTCTAGGTAACTCATTGAAGGCAATTATTTTCTTGTTCAACTTTATATCCCCAAGGCCTATCAGTGTCATATATATTAGGCAGACGTTTGTTAAATGGTTATCAAATGCTCTAAGGACAGAGAATGAAGACATAAAAAGCAGTGGAGGCCTTCAGAGAGGCATTTCAGCAGACCCACTCCCTGATCTCATAAATGTCTTTCACTGTCTTCACACCTGTAAAGGACCCCTTATCTACCGTGAATGGACTCACTTCCACAGATTATGCTGAATGTATACTTTTTTATGGGACAGGTTTTTAGGCAGTATCATTGCAATTTAAGAAAATGTCCCTAAAGGGAAGAAAAGAACATAAATTGGTTCTCTTTAACAGATACATTGAGATAGACCCTCAAAAATATGGTTTTTCTCTTTCTAAAGGCTATTATAGGAGCTTGGATCAATCATTAAGGTAATGAAAGCCATGCATAGTTTCAGTAATAACTCAGTGACTATCCTCTAATTCATAAATATAGGTAATGTCAACTTATAACACTCTAGGATTCAGAAGCTGCTTTGGAATACATATTCTCTTTTTCTAAAATGAAGTATAGTTGATTTACAATGCTGTGTTGTTAATACATATTCTTATAAGTGATACATACAAAATTAGAGGGAATCACAGCCCTAGGCTTGTCATAGAACACCTATTTATACTATAGTATTTTGAACATGTTAAGAGTACACATTTTTTAGCTAACTACTATTTTTTTTTTAATTAAGGAGGGGGGTATCAGCAAAATTTAATATTCTTTCAAACAAACAAAACCCCTTCATCATATACTTGATAGCTTCCTCTAAGGCAATTTCACAAATCTCACTGAAAGTGAAAAGTGAAAGTGAAGTCGCTCAGTCGTGTCCGACTCTTTGTGACCCCATGGACTGCAGCCTACCAGGCTTCTCCATCCATGGGATTTTCCAGGCAAGAATACTGGAGTGGGTTGCCATTTCCTTCTCCACTAACTACTATTATTAAAAAGTTTTTTTAATGGGAAATAAATCTGTTCCAACTTCAGAAATCGAAAACCCTGTAAATGGGGAGCTACCCATAACACAACTGGAACCCTCAACTACCTTTCCCAACAAAATTAACAAATCAACATCTTCTTGTGCTTCAGTTTAGTTTAGTTGCTCAGTTGTGTCCGACTCTTTGCGACCCCATGGATTGCAGCATGCAAGGCCTCCCTGTCCATCACCAACTCCCAGAGTCTACCCAAACTCATGTCCATTGAGTCGGTTGATGCCATCTAACCATCTCATCCTCTGTCGTCGCCTTCTCCGCCTGTCCTCAATCTTTCCCAGCATCAGGGTCTTTTCAAATGAGTCATGCTTAAGCAGTAGCTATTCCCGGGGGAAATGAGGCACAGATACCACAGCACTAAGTTTTATTAGGGGTTTCATTAAAGTTAAATTTCTCCAGTTGAAGGAGTCAGTTAGGGAACACAAAGCTCATGAAGCCTCCTCAGATCTCATAGTGAACCACTGGCTCAGGTTCTTTGTTAGGATCACCGCCTCGTTCCAGATACAGATTATTGTAAGGATACTGCTTTGGCCCCTAAGGAAAAAACACAGGTCAGCAAGAACAACATATATCCAGCCAACACCTGGCCACAGCCTACCCCGAGTGAAGACTCACACATAGTAAACAGGTACACAGTAGCTTCTGGTCAGACCCAGCTGGGCCAGAACAGCAGGGACAGCACTCTTTTTCCCACCTCAGCCCAAGGCAGTGAGAAAGCTTAGATTATAAGAGAAGTGGTGCCTACAGAAATAGAGAGAGTGAGTGAGTGTGTGTGTGTGTGTGTGTGTGTGTGTGTGTGTGTGTAAGAGAAGGGGTGCCTACAGAGGTAGAGAGTGTGTCTGTGTGTGTGTATAAGAGAAATGGTGCCTACAGTATATGTGCGTGTGAGAGAGAAAAAGAAGGAGGGAGAGGAAGGGAGAGAGAAAGGGAGAGCATGAGGGAAGCTTTCTAAATGAGACGATGCATCCATCCATCCTACTCTCTCGGGGTTGAGACAGACTCAATCTCCTTTAAGTCACTCAGCCTCTAATGGTTCCACCACTAAAGTGGCCTAGCAAATGAGGCGTGCAAGAGCAGTAGTGGGGGAAAGCACAGAGGAAACATGGCTTGGACGTGCTTTAGGGGCTGCTGGCTTTACCAACAAACAGCTGTCAGAGAACACAGCTCAAGGGGAGGAGAAAAGGGTGATGTGCTTACAGAACTGAAAAATGGAGGAGCCACACTGCGTTTCTTGCTCTCCTGAAGTGGTTAGTGCTCACACCAGCCCTATGCGCACTCTCCAACCGGGGGCCCCTGGGGCTTGGTAGGAAGGCTTGTGTCAGTGCACAGACATACGAGCTACCATTAGGACATTGCCTATCTCAGCAGAGGTAGCACTGTGCAGCCAACTGGAGACACGGCAGCCTCCTGCTTTTAGTACCTTTCTCACACTCTGCCCTGTAGACTATTCCCAGGTTAATCTTTTAAAAACCTAGGCATCATTACAGCATTCTTCTATTGAAAATCCCAACATGGCTCCCTGCTTCCTAGAGGCAGGCCAAGTCATCAGTGTATTCCCAACCCTTAGCACCTTCTGTACCTGGTACATGACAGGAGCTTCATAAACATTTATTGAATTAATGCATTACTATACCATAAAGTCCAGATCTCTCAGCCACTCAATAAAAGGTGCCCAACCAAACTGATCAAATGCACTTCACAATATTTTTAACACAGCAGTTTCCACACCTGATTTCCCAGCACATCAAAATTACCTGGGAACCTGTTAAATATTGATTGTAGAACCCCACTGTGGAGTTACTGAATTAGGCTCTCCAAGAGCTAAGGAATCTGGACTTTTTAGCAGTTCCCCAAGTGCAGCTGGTTGTCGGAGAGCTATTTATAAACCTATTCCACTCCAGCTAACTCACTGTCCTCTTCCTCCATTCTGTTTTCTTTTCCCCCAAATGTTCTCTTCAACTTCTCTCCATCATCTAAAAATATGTTTTAGCATCTAGCATAATCCTCCATAACAGCACAAGCACATATTTTCACTATGCACATATATACACAAAAACTGCGCCAAATTCCTATATGTGTTCCAATGTTGCTCACGTCACATCTCTAAATTTTCTTATCCAAATTAAATGTCCTCAAAGCTAGAGAGTATATTTTCATTCTTCTTTTAATTGAAGTATAGTTGATTTACAATGTTTGTCAATTTCTGCTATACAGCAAAGTGATTCAGTTATGTATGTATGTGTGTGTGTATACACATTTTTTCATACTCTTTTCCATTATGGTTTATCACAGGATATTGAATATAGTTCCCTGCGCTTTACAATAGGACCTTGTTGTTTATCCATTCTATTTATACTAGTTTGCATCTGCTAATCCCAAATTCTCAATCCATCCCTTTCCCATACCAGCCCTATGTGCACTCCCTGGCAACAAGTCTGTTCTATACAGACAGTATATTTGCTGTGTCCTTCATGTTCTCTAAAATTAACTGTCCATGCTTGTAGTAAACATTTAATTGCTTCCTATAGAAAATGCCCTTCACACCAATAAAGGATAAGCTTTCAACTTGAGATTCCTGGACTCTACCTTAAAAGATCACTTGCTGAAATATGGTGTTAAGTACACTTCACCAAAGGGCAACTCTAAAGGCTAGCTGGCTTCTTCATTCTCATTCCTCACCTAGTCCCACAGTTTCTTCTCACTCAGACTGACCCAAGATACAGGCAAAAGCTGTGCTTTAGTACTTGTTCCAGGCCAGTAGCTAAGGCCCTCTATAGGCCTCACCAGGAAGCCAAGCTTGGTATCAGGTAGATCTCTACTCCAGAGACTGCATTCCCTCAGGAAAGTGTGCCTGAGGGAGCACTCCTCAGATACTCACCACAGGCTGGTAGGCGGGGTAAGTCTCCCCTACCCAAAACATGAACAGCATGAAGGCGACGAACCCGAAGAGGTGCTTACACATGAGGTTCCAATTAACAGGAGTCGGGGACGTGTCCACACGGTTCCTGATATACATGTCCAGGTCCCAGTGCATCTGAGACAGAAAGGCAGATCACTGTCACATACTGCTTTTCCTGCAAAAGGCAGGCAGTCCAGAGTGATTAGAGCCTCATACAAGACTTGAAAGGCATTCTCCTGCCCTGGGCAATATTCTGAGAGCCACATCTGAGATACTCTGGACCACAGGACTGGATGCTGGCTTATGTCTGGGTTTGGCTGATCAGAGACAGTCCCAATCATGAACATTCACAACTCAAGAGCTTCGATTATTCTCAGAAGTCCTATTCCACACACACACAGGGAACCTTAGATCTCAGAGCACTTGACCCTGCTTCCTTGGGCAGAAAAACCTTAGTGTTTTTGATGTTTAGTCGCTAAGTCATGTCCAACTCTTTGCGACCCCATGGATTGTCCATGAGGTTCTCCCAGCAAGAATGTTGGAGTGGGATACCATTTCCTTCTCCAGGGGATTTTCCTGGATCAGGGATCAAACCCATGTCTCCTGCAGTGGCAAGCAGATTCTTCACCACTGAGCCACCAGGAAAGGCCACTTGGGCAGAAAAGTGCCATCTGATCTACAGAAGACATAGGGAAAAAGAAGGAAGGGCAAATGGGACATGGTTCTCTTACCGGTTCACCCCAGTTCAACCGCAGGTCTGGGTGGTCCCAGTCATACCATGGATCCCTCTCCTGCTGTGAGCGGTCAGGCAGTTTCGGATAGTCACCATACCTGAGAGACAGCAAGAACTTCTGGACACGGCTTTGAGAGCCTCAGACAAGGCACAGCCTCCTCAGCTCTGAGATGAGAAACCAAGTGACAAGATAATGGCTTTCCACTAAGGACAGAGCAACTAACCTTCCAATCAAGATCTCAGTGTTTTCCTGTGATGCACATATTGAGAAATGTTGGGTTAAAGGGCGGCTGGTAAGTATCCCAAATATCCCCCCAGAAAAACTGTGGCAATTTACATTCCTGCAAATGGTATAAGAGATTAATTTTCCTGAATGCTTTCCAGTATCAAAATTATCATTAATAAAATAAAATAGTTGCTATTTTATTGTTGTATTAAATCTCAATTTTCACTCACGAAGCACAACGCTAACTGCAGAAGTCCAAATTGTTATTAAAAATTCATGTCAAACTCTGCAACATTATTTAACATATGTCAGCTTTTCTTATCGTCTTTCAACAAAAAGAAAAAAAGTCACGCCATGTTATAATGTTAGCAATGGAAGGGAATTCAACAATCAATCACTCTGTTTTCCTGAGTAGACAGAAAAAGAAACTGAAGTTTAGAGTCTGAACCTAAGGTTGCCCAGTTCTACTGGAATAAAAACAAAAAGGTATAGATGAGAGAAGCACTCTTCATAGCAACTGTGTTTCTCAACCACAAAACTGACATACATCTTCAAGCCTCAAACACCTTATGGGCATGATAGGCTGGATTTTTCACCAGCAAGTGCAGGTTCAACTTATACAGACTGCTACCGGGGCTGCTCTTGTCCACAACACAATAGAAGTCATAGGGGAAAAAAAAAAAAAGAAGTCATAGGAAATGATGACAACTAGGACATGTGTCACAGGAAGTGATTGGAAAACAACAAGATGAATAGGAGCTGCTGAAACCACCGCTGAAAGAGTGATGCTAGGGAGAAAATGAGGGTGACGGTAATCAATTCAGGTAATTAACCACAGAGATGTTATGGGGTATGGGGGGAAACCATCAACTGGAGTAAGAGTTAGCTATTTAATCTTTTAAAATTGCTAAGATTTCCACAACGCTAACAGCAACGATTAAAAAAAAAGAAATATACAAATATACACATATAAATATAGAGTACTCTATCTACAAATAAGGTTCTCATGACAGGAGTCCAGCTCCAGCCTGGTCACGTGCCTGGATGACAGACAGCACCTGAGCCCAGCAGATGCTCGATCTAAATGAAACCTTGCGCTCTGGATGAACCAAGGAAGGTTCCCGCTATTCAGGGGTCCTCAAGGGAGCTATTAAAACCTCAGCTTCCTCATCTGAGGAAACAATCCGAGCCAAGGAGAAAATTAAAGTCCTCTCGACTGCAGCTGCTCACCCATCCCCTCCCACCTCTCTCCACCGAGAAAAGTACCCACACCACTGACTCTGAAGGTCACGAAAAGGTTCGGGGAAAAGGGTCAGAGCAGAGCTACCCACCCAGTCCGAACCTCTCCCATTACTACCCGGGTGCGAGCAGACCCTATCTTACCCCATGCCATCATCCGGGTACGGCTCGTAGTCTTCCACCCGCATATTATACTTCTTGGCGGCAGCAGCCCGTTCTTCTGGGGTCTTGGGATAGGGTCCCGGGAGCATGTCCTTGGTAATGTGGGAGGCTGCAGGGCAGACGAGGGCAAGTCAGAAGCGGCCCCATTTTTCCTGCCACTCTAAAGGCTTCAGGCTTCAAGGTCAGAGCCCGAGGCTTCGAGGGACCAGCAGACCTTCCTTCCGTTTCTGTGGCTATCCCAACTCCACCTCCGCCCTTTCCCGAACTCGGTGGTCGTGGTACCCCACCAAATCCACTCTGCGCCCGACACAATAAACCTCAGGCACCCCCACCCACCCCCCCACCCACACTGAGGCCTCGCCCGTTCTAGCGGACCTGTCCGTGCACCCATCGGCACCATGTCTCGGGCTGCCTTTTGCAGCCACCGGACTCCCAGGACCCCAGCCCTGGCCGCCGCCATCTTCACCTTCTTCCCGTTTCACCCCGCACATGCGCAAAGACATTGTCACGGCGGCTGAGCCGGGCCAAACGCGGTTAGGGAGATAAGTGTTAAAGGAAGGGCGGGGCTTAAACGGTGCTGGGAAGCCAGAGGGATGGTGAGCGGTTCCATAGAGGCTGAGAGGCAAGGCGGGAAGGACAGAAAAACAAACGGGTCACTGCTTTGACATTTCTGATTGTTGACTCCCTTTTCTCCCTCTGCTGACTTAGGCGCCTCCCGGAATAGCGGGCATTCGGAACCTGAGCATCTCGGGTGGATAGCTGACCCACCTCCCTCAGGACCTGTATAAGTAAAATGAGCCTGTTTAATCTCTTTTCTAGGGCTTCCCTCATAGCTTAGTCAGTAAAGAATCTGCCTGCAATGCAGGAGACCCGGGTTCGATTTCTGGGTCGGGAAGATCCACTGGAGACGGAAATGGCAACCCACTCCAGTGTTATTGTCCGGAGAATCCCATGGACAGAGGAGCCTGGCAGGCTGCAGTCCATGGGGTCGCAAGAGTCGGACACGACGTAGCGACTGAAGAGAGAGAATCTCTTCTCTGACTGCTTGCTTGCCTTGTTCTTTTCCTTCAGTGGCAGTTCCTGTTTCCATATTCAAACGTGATCATTCTTCAAATTTAGTGCTTGGTCTTGTTTGTTCATGTTTTGTTTTCCACATTAATTATTTCCTTCAGTTAGAGGCAAATTAGCCCCCAAAACTGGTGGTTTTGTTTCGGCCGCGCGGCTGGCGGATCCTGATTTCTCGACCGGGGGTTGAACCCGCACCCTTGGCCTTGAAAGCGAGGAGTCCCAACCACTGGACCACCAGGGAATTATCCCCCGCCTCCCAAATGGTTCTTCAGTTTCAGTCCCGTGTTTACATCCGAATGTCTCAGTCACCTCAACCCAACAAATATAAAACCAGTTCTATTGTTTGAACCCGCCTCAGATTTGCTAGACTTGGATAAACACACTTCGAGCCGAACCACAATTGGCGAATACTCCAGTACTCTTGACTGGAAAATCCCATGGACAGAGGAGCCTGGTAGGCTACAGTCCATGGGGTCACAAAGAGACGGACACGACTGAGCGACTTCACTTTACAGCCCAACAAAAGAAAGGGAGGGGCATTATTGTTCGCATATGAATGTTTTTATTTACACATTTTATTACACATTATTACACATACACAATTATGATTTGCATAATTTACAGTATATGTATGCACATATTTCCAGGAACTTTTAGAGTGATCACTGTTTTGGAGTAGAATCCATTATTATAGACATTCCCAAATATATATCAGAGCAATAAAAACTGATATATACTCTTCAGTATATGAAATTTGGGGGAGAATTACTTTACGGCAATTTGCCCTCTTGCAAATGAGCAACTAATTGATGTTCAGAATGGGGGGGGGTGACATCTGCACTCGATCAATAGCAAACCCTGATCTAATTCAGTCGAGAAACAGAGTTGGACTAAGGCAAAAATGCCTTTTAAGTAGGTGAGATAGAGAAAGCAAATGGTGCCAAGAAGAAAAACAAAAACAAAAAACAAAAAAACCCGCCTTTGATTTCAGAAGAATTCAAGTTGCCATACATTTTTTTGCAGAGGGCTTCAGATCAAACTTTGCTCAACATCTATGTATTGGACATCTGCTCTTCCTTCTGACTTCCTTAGGTGGGTCAAGTTTGTGTCTCCCCGCATCCGTCAGGGTAAAATTTAATGCCTCACTAAACTTGCCTTCTGCCTGTTGTGTAGGCCTGGACGCATAAGCAATAATATTTTGTGACTTGGTTAGCCCAATCTACTCAGTGAAGTAGAACTAAGCTCTACCTAGTGTAGAGTTACCGGTTACCATTAGGAGGCACTCCCAAAGGGCTCGTGCCGGCGTTCTTAATTTCTTTGGGCCGCTCTCTCTTACCGCCTATCTCTATGGTTTCCGTTGTATTATACTCCAGAATAGGCGCAGCTTCCGCTTCCGCTGGGGCCGTCCCTAGCGGTAGAGATGGCGGCGACAGCAACGGAGGCCGCGTCCTCGGCCTCTGGAGAACCCCGGGAAGAGGCTGAAGGCCCTGGCCCCGCCTGGGATGAGTCCCAACTGCGCAGTTACACTTTCCCGACCCGGCCCATCCCGCGTCTGAGTCAAAGCGACCCCCGGGCGGAGGAGCTTATCGAGAATGAGGTAGGGGGCGGAGCCGCTTTCGAAGCGGGAGGGGGAAGGGACCAGGTTGGGAGGAGAGGTCAAAGGCGAGTGGTGGTAGAAGGAAGGGACCGGCTGGGCTGTGGACTAGGGCCTAAGCGGGAATGGAGAGGAAAGCGAGGAGAAATGGAACTTGCGGGGTTCATGCTGATTAACAGAAGTTATTTTGAAGTTGGGAAATAGTTGGAATCTTGGGACAAGAACCCACCAGCTCCTTGGGACAACTTGATTTGTTTTTTCCATATAGGAGCCTGTGGTGCTGACTGACACAAATCTTGTGTATCCTGCACTAAAATGGGACCTTGAATACCTGCAAGAAAATATTGGCAACGGTGATTTCTCCGTGTACAGTGCCAGCACCCACAAGTTCTTGTACTATGATGAGAAGAAGATGGCTAATTTCCAGAACTTTAAGCCAAGGTCCAACAGGGAAGAAATGAAATTTTATGAGTTTGTTGAGAAACTGCAGGATATACAGCAGCGAGGAGGTGAAGAGAGGTAAGTTCTGAGATCATGGCTTTTTCCATTGAATCTAGGGCATCCATTTTTCTTTCCTGTATTTATTCGAGGCTGAATTCTCTAGCTTGAGGGATGATGAAATGACTCGACTTGAAGTGTGACTCAAATTTGTTGTCTTCATAAAGTGAGAATTACACTCGCCTAGCACAGAGTCGGACACGACTGAAGTGACTTAGCAGCAGCAGCAGCAGACTCTAGTAGGTGAATGAAATGAGTGAAGGTTTGGGTGAAAGCTCTGATGAAGCTGAAGGCATATGCCCTGTTCAGAGTGAGAAGTCATTACTTAACTCTTGTTTCCATTTTGGAGTGCAGCCCCAGGGTTGCCAGATAGTCTGATTCCCTCCCCCATCTCCTGCCCGGAGAAGCTAGAAATCAGGATTTCTATTTTAAAAAATCTTAAGCTTTAAATGTAGGCAGCTAATTCAACTTTTTAAAAATGCTGCAAGAGGCCAGTTTAAAATGTCAGTGAATTTCCTGAGACTGCAGGTTTGCAGCCTTTGTCCTAAAATATTTGAATGGGGGCAGCGCAGGCTGAAAAGTTGCATAGGTGAGGGTAGGGAGAATATTGATGTTGTGCATTATATTGACAATAGCAAACACAAGACACCCACACACATAGGGGGGTGACTTATCTCTCCCTTTTAACTCTCTTTATGAGGACCTTCTCTTATATAGTTCTCAGACAGCATTCAGTCCTGCTTTAACTTTGCTCCTGGGGAATTGCTGTCACTGAGTACTTGATGGTGACTGACTATCTCCATCTCACATTTGGTGCCCAACCCGGGACTTTTCTTCAGTTTCCAGCCCCATTTCTCTTTCAGACTCTGTTAGCAGTATGTGGCAGAGTGAAAGGATTTGAAATATCTGCCCCCCTCCCTTTTTTTGTCTTCCTAACTCTTAGCTATTGTCATAATGTTGGAACTTTGACCAAAAGAGTTTCTAGAACCCGAACTACAATAGATTTGTTCTTTATGTCTTATAGAGACTGTTGCAGTGGAATCCGTTCATGCATTAATGTCCTCAAATATACCACAGTGTGTACTCATGCACACACAAACATACACACACAACCAACATTGAGAAGAAAGATTGATTTAGATGATGCTGGTGGAGTGTAAATCTGTTGGGTGAACATATGCACTACAGCGAGCATGAGATAAGATATGAGTCTTCTGATTTCTCAGTCATTTTAGGGTTCTTGTTTCCCATAGTGAGAACATTTTGCCCAAATGTGAGCTAGGAGTGTAGTCTGTACTTTGTGGATGACTTAAGGAAAATTTCTTTACTGTTTGCAGATTTTTCCCTACCAGCTGACTTTAGCACCAACTAACCCCATTGTATAATGATATAAGTTGTTACGATTCTGAGGTAAAGGGTATTAGGATCCTCTTTGAGCTGTTTTGAGCATTTACTGTTAAGGTTTCAGAGGAATTGTTTAGATTCCTGTTTGGGAAGTGTTTCTCAGTCTTTCAGAGTTACTTGAGAAATATTTGTGTGAATATACGTACTTCATAATCTCTGGGGAGCATTCCAAGGTTTTATTCAGGTCTTGAATACCATGTCCCCACACAGGTAGCTCTTTTCAAGTTAGCAAAATTTTTAATTAAGGTTGCTTTAAAACATCATGGTTATCATCAGGCACTGAGATACCTTTGAGCCTTTTGAAATAATGTTTTTAGCACCATTACTTTTTTTCCTTCATGTTTGCCTCCTAAATAATATTTCTTTGGGGACTTGAGCAACTATGTTTGGGTTTTCATATGTATTAAGTAACTTCTTACCTTCCTCAGGCGTGTTAGGGGCCCTGAGTCTGCAGAAAGTTTAGTGAGGTTTCTTCCTTCAGCTCCAGATGGCTGCTACAGATAGGTGGCTGAATCAGTTAAGATAAACTAGGCTTCATTCCAGGACTCAGCAACGTGAAGCAACAAAGGTTTATTTTTCACACATGCTGCATGTCCATCTTGGGTCACCTGGAGACTCTTCTCTTAGGTCATCTTTTCCACTTTGGGACCCAGATTGCTCCAGCAGTTGCTATCTGAAACTTTGCAGTTGCTGTGGCAGAGGGAAAGTATTGTGGTGGTAGTAAAGTTTGGAAGCAGCTCCAGTCACTTCTGTAGACAACTTGGTGGTCAAAGAAGTTAGATAAGCAAACCTTACTTCAAGGAGGTGCAGGAGAATAACTCACAAGGAGGGAATACAATCTGCCACAATGGCTGTTGGAGGCCAAAGGAGACCTCTCAGGCCCTGAGAGTTTCTGGAACAGGCTGAGTCGTCATTCTAGGGTCTATGGGTAGGCTTTGAGGAATCTATGAAATTAAATGAAAGTTCAGTGTATATGCATTTTTATGGGGAACCTCTCTTGGGTACTTTTTTACCCTCTTGGATTCATAAAAGATTCATAATGTAACCCAGAAAAGCCAAGAATCACTTCTTTAAAATACAAAATTTGACGTTGAACAGAGCTCAAAGAAGGATAGGAGAGGATTTGGCTCTGTGAGAGTTCATGACTGCAGCTGTTTTTCTTAGAAATATTGGTATGGGCTTGGGTTTGAATTTCCAGGTGTAGGGAGGCCATGTCACAGACAGTGTGTACATGCACTAATGGGATTTTCTTTTTGGGGAACATAGGTTGTATCTACAGCAAACACTCAATGATACTGTCGGCAGGAAGATTGTCATGGACTTCTTGGGTTTTAACTGGAACTGGATTAATAAGCAACAGGGAAAGCGTGGCTGGGGTCAGCTGACCTCTAATCTGCTGCTTATTGGCATGGAAGGTAAGAAATCTTTCAGAAAGCAGCACGACTTGGGGTCACATGAACTAATTTCTAATCCTTTCCCCACCACTTACTTGATCCATGACTTTGAACAAGTCATGTAACTTTCTTAAGCCTCAGTCTCCTAATTTGTAAAACAGACACAGTAATACCTTAAAATTGACTATGAAGTTTCAATGAGATTAATATGTTACATCTTTAAACTAGCTTCAGGCACTCTAAAAAGAAAGTTCCCTTTTCCCTTCCTCAGCTGCTTTGTGGATACATACACTCAGATACTGGAGATCTCTCTAAAATTCTGCTGTTTTCTGTTTGATATGTGTGCAGATTATTATCCTAGTAGAAGAGAAATATTTTTCAAATATAAATTGAACTTACCTTTTGAGCAGATAATACATTTTTGGAGTTAAATTCAAAAGGTATAAATAAGTATGTAGTGATAAATCTCTTACTTTCCAGTTTCCCAGCCTCCCAGTTTCCATTCCCTCCCTGGAGGCACCAAATGTTGTTAGCTGGTTCTGTATCCTGCTAGAAGATTGTACACTTACATAAGCAAAACTTGAATACTTCTTCTTCTTTTTTTTTTTTTTTAATTAAAAAGAGACACCTTTAAACTCCAATGAGGAGAAAGAAACCTATTTACCAACCAGGGTCTTTGTCTCAGTTCTGTCACTAGCTTAGTGCCAGGCTCATTGTAGAGTCACTTTGTAAATGGTGAGTAAATTGAGTTGAACAAGGAAGCACAGTAATTACTCATTATCAGTCACCACTAGGCTCTGAAGTCTCTTCTTCCCCTTTGATTGTCTTTTCTCCAGATTTATATCTTTTACTGCTAGTATTAATGAAAGCTTCTAGTATCACAGCTTATGAATTGACCCTTAGCCTGCCCCTTTGAAGCCAACTGTTGGTTGACCTACCAGGAGCCAGTTCTTATTTACTTGACTCTGAATGTTGCCTTTCTATCCTGTGGTAGAGGGCAAGAAAGCAGATCCAGCAGGTAGTGAGCAAGTCTTCTTCAGGAATGTACATGGACTCTGCACCTAGTAAAGTGGCTGTCTTGGCCCACTCAGGCAGACTGGGGAATGTTTTCTAAACTCCATGCCTTGCAGAGGTCCCTTAAGCTCTCAGGGACTGTGCAGAGAAACATTGGGGCTCTTTATAACTGTCAGATGCAGCCTCAGTTAAAAAGAGGAGCATGCATACACAAGGGCAGATAATTCAAGATGGCATTTTAGGTAATTTGCGTTATTCAGAGTATACAACACTCTTCAGGAGTTTGTTATGCTCTCCCGGCTCCCATGAGAGTCAACAGCTCCAGTGTTCATCTGAAGAAGTGTTGCGGTCCAACAGGTGTGTTAAAGTGGGAGCAAAGGTTGAGAATCTTTGAGCTCCAGAAAGTGTTAGTCACTCAGTTGTGTCCGACTCTGCGACCTTATGGGCAGTAGCCCACCAGGCTCCTCTGTCCATGGAATTCTTCAAGTAAAATTACTGGAGTGGGTAGCCATTCCATTCTCCAGAGGATTTTCCTGACCTAGGGGTCGAACCCACCTCTCCTGCATTGCAGGCAGATTCTTCACTGTCTAAGCCACCAGGAAAGCCCCTGGTGAGCTCCAGAAGAGCTACCCAAAGTAAGTACATATATACAACTTAAAAAGACTGGTTAACTCCATCAAAGAAGAGCATGTATGCATTGCTGATACTAGTCATTTCAGCTATTTCTAACTCTTGCTTGTGTTTCCCTTGAATTTGTGCCCTTGTCAAGAAGAGTACAAGTACAGGTTCCCACTAGCTATCTGAAAGCAGACCATCCCTGTGAAACCTTCTATAAGCCAAGATGATGTAAAACAAAGAAGCAATCATCCTAGGGCGCATCTTGCTAACGGATGCACAAAGTAAATAGAGATAAAGCACAGATGCTCACAGACACAATCAGAGCTATGGTGGCTTGATGCTGAGTGTAGTTTCCAGGCAGGAGGTTGGCAGTGCCACTCTTGCTGCTCGTGCTCGCTGCCTCTGTAATGGCTTACTCCAGAGCAAACACTGAATGATACTTTTGCCTTTTTCTTTGTAAAAATGAAAATTCTTTTTTAATTTCTTTCAGCTAGCAAAATAGGTGCAAATATAGGTCTTTGGTAAAAGCAAAGTGGTATAAAGTGAACTTCCGAAAAGCAGGGCATAGCTGTACGGAGTGTATTATTTTGTCATGCTTGTATCATTTTGATGTGCAGTTGTATACAGTAAGGGCAGCAGCCGTCATTTAAGGAAGTCTACTCTGCTAATTGATGGTGAACCCTTAGCCAGTGATGTTTGCTACTAGACCTATCACCTATTAAAAAGTGTAACACCTAATTGAATGAGTTGTGATTACAGTCTCCCTGATTTTGGTTTGGAACCTTTTGCTGAGAAGGCCGACTAGGTTTCTCTGTAACATTGAAGCCTGTGTTCCATCCTGTGCAGTAGAGCTACTGTCTTGAATAAGAAAATGTCTTTCTGCCTACAGGAAATGTGACACCTGCTCACTATGATGAGCAACAGAACTTCTTTGCTCAGATAAAAGGCTATAAGCGATGCATTTTGTTCCCTCCGGATCAGTTTGAGTGCCTCTACCCGTATCCTGTTCATCATCCCTGTGACAGACAGAGCCAGGTGAGCTTGTGTGATCCGAGGAGGGTTTAGAACTCCTTTGAGGTCCAAGATGGGCATGGGTCCCCCTTCTCTGTGGCAGTATGCCAGGTTTTGATAAACTCAGAGGACAATTTCACAATGTAGCTTACATATTCCTGGCCCATGCCGGTCCCCAGATGTTCAGGGCAAAGCCCTCACTGATGCTGGTGGGCTCTGGTTATTCTGTTTGATTGGATTATAGATTCATGAAACAAAATGTGTATGTCTCCATTAGATTTTATGATTGTTTACTTTTGTCACAGATGCTACTTCTTTTTGATAAAGAGAAGGATGAATAGAATTGAGATATGTCACTTAAGGTCTTTTCTGGATCTCAGTGAGGTATGTAGTTGACTTTGTGGCCAACCAGAGAGCTCCTCTTCTTCTTTGAGGAGCAAGCTGCTTAGCTGCCTTGTGTAGGAGTCTTTGCTGGTTAGAATATGTGTTTGGGAGAAAGTTTCTGAAAGTTTGGCTGGAAGATGAGTCCTATTTCCTTAAATCTGCAGGCCATGAGTAGATTTCTGACCTGTAAACCTTGATGATTGGCTTTTGACCTCAGGATCACGAAGCCTACTATTCATTTAACATTCAGCAGTGCCCATCTTCTTATGTCATTCTCTGAGAGAGTTTGCATATGTTTAATGTGTATTGTGTCTTTTGCTGGTTTTAAAAAAAAATTCTCAAGACTTTTTAAGGGATCTTTCTTGATTACCAAAGTAACAGATAAAAATTTGGTGATTGACTGATTTTTTTTTTTTCCTCTTGAACCTCTCAGGTGGACTTTGACAATCCTGACTACGAGAGGTTTCCCAATTTCCAGAACGTGGTTGGTTACGAAACAGTGGTTGGCCCCGGTGATGTTCTTTACATCCCAATGTACTGGTGAGGATGAGGCTAGGATTGGGGGCTTCTGGGGAGCTTTCTTTCCCATTCCCTGGAAAGACTTATCCATGTCCCTTCTTTTGAGTTGTGGCAGGATTGGACTTAATGTGATGTACAGGAAGGTTGGCATATCCAGATGATGGGCATACTTAATGTGGGGGAAATGACAACACTGTCTCTAGACAAGATAACAGTTCCTCTGGTCCAAAGAGGCCCCAGAGGCTTGAAACTTGGCTCTCTGGTATTTGAAGAGCAAACACCACACTCGCTCTAGCTCCAGGGTGTGTTTAATAGGATGAGTATGAAGATACTGTCTTCCTTATATCCCCTAGCTGCACTCTACCTAGTTTCAGAGGATCTGTCCCTCTGAAAAGTACTAGAGGCAAACAGCAACCTGTTTATTTTCTTGCAGGTGGCATCACATAGAGTCATTACTAAATGGGGGGATAACCATCACTGTGAACTTCTGGTATAAGGTGACTATGGTTTTTTGTTCTAGATGGGAGTGGGGTGAGGTAGGTGTGATGAATTATTTCGGGGTAGGGCAGGGAGGTTGGCTGTCCTGGAAGTGATTACTGGGTCTTTGGAGAGATGAAGAGGTTTGGGGTTGAATGGGTTTCCTAAGAGAGGGTGGTGCTTGGCACAGTGGGTGACTCTGGAGCCTGCTGAAGACATTCCTGAACTGCTGCTTACTTTGCAGGGGGCCCCGACTCCTAAGAGGATTGAATATCCTCTCAAAGCCCATCAGAAAGTGGCCATCATGAGGAACATTGAGAAGATGCTTGGAGAGGCCTTGGGGAACCCACAAGAGGTATGTGGCTACCCCAGAGGGGCACTCCTGTGACTCAGTGGGCAGAGTGACCAGGGAAAGTCAGGGTTGGTGTCATGTTCTCTATTGCTCGTCTGTTTCAGTATCTGTTGTCCTCTCTCTTCATAGAGGTTATGGGTGTGTTCAGAAAATTCTGATTTTTTGGTGAGAGCTGGGGTTGACTGGCAGATCAGTTGTAATCTGTTCCATGCTAGTAGTAATGTTCCTCATGGGGCTTGTGTGCCAGCTGGGGACCCCTGAGGGGATTCTTCTGGAACGGAAAGCGAGCAGTAAAGCATCTTCTGGCATGCTCCCAGCTGTGCCAAGGCTGCTCTAGGTAATGTTGAGACCTACTTTCACACAGGTGTGCCAGTGGCCCATGGCATAAATGGGGGAGATTTGTGTTTGTGATGCTCTTTACCTCTGTCCTGTGGATAGCCTCTGCATCCATAGCACCTGTGGGGGGAGAGCACCAGCCCCAACTGCAAGTGATCCTTTCAGGATAAAGAAGCATTTAAGATTCTTAAGGCGCATTTACGAAGCACGCAGATAGACACTCTGAGGTGTCTGGGGAGTGTTAGCTCCTCTGACCGTGTGTCTGTCAGTTTGGTGCTGCTTAAGTGTATAGGGTGTTGTGAGAGGGAAGGTAATCCAACATGGACCCAGAGGAGGGGACCATGCCCCAGAATACTGGGTTGACCTCCAGGAAGAGAGTTGATTAGAGGGTTTACAAGATTGAATGAAAGTCTTGTCCTTGCCCTTGGCTGGACATCGATGTCTCCAGACACACCCTGTCCTGCTCTGGGGCTAGAGAACAGACAGTTCTGACTGGCTCCTCATGTCTTTCCACAGGTGGGGCCCTTGTTGAACACAATGATCAAGGGCAGATACAACTAGCCTGCCAGGAGTCAAGGCCTCCTGCCAGGTGACTGCTAGCCCGTCCACACCGCTTCATTGATGAGGACAGGAGACTCCAAGCGCTAGTATTGCACGCTGCACTTAATGGACTGGACTCTTGCCATGGCCCTGGAGGCAGGTGTTTGGGGCAAGGCAGGGTGGTTGGCACTCCACTCCCATTCGGAGGGACTTCTTACCCTTGCCTCTGTGCCCCAGCACCTTCCCTCTCTGCCCCCTGAAGTCCTGCATTCAGTGTGTGGAGTCCCCAGCTTCTGGTTGTCATCATGTCTGTGTGTTAGCCTGTCAACCTCGGGGTGTGTGTGCGTGTGTGTGCCTGCACACGCGTGTATGTGTTTGTTCTTGCTCCCTCCTTCTGGGTCAGGGTGCCACTTCTGGCTCTCGGCTCTGTCTCCTGCAACCTCAGTGCCTCAGCCTGAGAGAGAGGAGATGCTCTCGGATGCCCCCACATCTGGGCTACAGGGCCACAGCTGTCCTGTCTGTGAGGTCAGTCTGCCCCCTCCCAGTTTTCACAGAGTGAGGCTCTAGGCTGGTAGGAGTGCTACTGGGACTCTAATGGGAGAGAGAGGGAGGGGGAGGAGTCCCTCTGAGAGCCTCAATGGCTTCCTAGGAGAGCGCATTAGGCAGGATTCCAACTTGGACCTTCAAGCTCAAGCCATACACAGAAAAGCGCCTTGGGACAAACGAACCAAGGATTGTGCAGAACTTCCACATTACAGGAGTTTTACAGACAACTTCTCTCTTCAGCACCAGCTCTTGCTTTCTGTCCTGAGTGCCAGGGGAGTCCTCTAGCAATGGCTTCTGTAGGTTCTAAGGGTGCAAGCCTCTTGTGGATGTGTGTGCGTGTGTGTGTGCATGTGTGTCTACACTGGCCTGTCTCTCTGCTTACCAAGTTTCTACTGCTTAACCTTGTCCGATGGAACATACAGTGGGAGCTCCAAGGCAATACTGCCTGACCTGGTCTAAAGCTTTTAAACTCATTTTTAGCCATTGGATAATGGTCAGGCCTTACTGCAACAACCTGCCTGAGACTGGCTAGAGCCTCCAGGTCCTATGACCCTCCCCGCCCAGGCCAAGTCCTCTGCTATGTCTGTGGAGTTTCCTGGTTCAAGTAGACTAAGTGGGGTCAAGCCGAGGCAGCTAACTCACCACCTGTCATCCACCTCGTGGCAAGGGCAAAAATGTGGCCTTGCCTCTTGAAGCCAGCACCTCTGCCAGACCCCACTGTAATGTTCCACAAACACCCTCAAAAGTGAGGGCAACTGGTGGAGCATGGAGTGGAATTCCTTTTCTGTTCATAGTTACTTGTGGGAACCCCTCTCAGGGCTGCAGCTAACAGCTGGGCCACTGGGCACTGCACAACTCAAAGGGCCATCATTCACACCTGTGTGGTGGAAGTGGGGCCCTTGGAGTTGGGCAATGTGGTGGCCCTGCGTCCTGTCACCTCTACTCCCATCTCCACGCCCCTTCTCTGGAAGGAAAAAGGAGTTGGAAGTCTCTGGGTTCATTTTTTTTTTTTTGCCAAAGGTTTACTTCCAGCGTCTGAGCTGTGGCTCTCACCCCCAGAGCTCAGTTTATAGTTACAGTGCACTGATGGACTGAGAGGATGCCGCGTGTGTGTGCATGAGTGCACCTGTGTGTATTTTGGGGTGGGGTGTTTATTTTTAGTACCCCATGCTGGGTTTCTCTGATGCAGTGTGGGTGTTCAAACACGGTACCTTCTAAAATGTAGTTCTTTCAAATATAGCCAATGCTGGAAAATGTGACCGCAGTGGTCTCCATCCCTCCATCTCTTTTGGGAAAAAGGAATACAGCAAAGAAAACAGGACAGAAGAAGGATAAATTGACCACATTCACATTTTGAAATATAGCACATTCTTTTCATTCTCCTCAGCATGTCTGCAGCCTTCCTGGCTCATTCCTCAAGGATGTGGGTGATGGCTTGGTCCTCTCAGCTGATCTTCTCTGGGTGCTGTGCCCACCCGTGTCTGACTGAGGTGGAGGGGCCTTCACAGGTTGGGTCCTGATCCTTGTGTAATATAACAGGAACCCCTGACTGTTAAGACACCTGATAGTGGCAAGTGCTTTTGTCTTTGTTCCTCGCTATCCTGCAAGGTAGGTATTCTCATTTTACAGCTCAAGAGTAAGTGATTGGTGGCAATCAGGATTCAAACCTAGTACTATTGGGCTACAAACCACCTGCTGTGCTTCTCCAGCAAACTATGTTGATTTTCCTACCATACCTCCTCTGAACTACAGGCCTTGCTCAGATCTTACCGACTGGGCAGTATCTATTACAGACAGGCTTAGCCCAAAAGAATACAGAAGATACAGCTCAGGGTAAAAGCTCTCTGGGCTCCAGCAAACACTTCTTGGAGAAGATGCCAGGAAGCCGTACTATGGAGTTAAAAAGAGTTCTGAAATGAGTTACCGGGAAACAGTTCTGGATCCCATTGATGACTTGTGTATCCTTGAATAGGTCCGGTCACTTCTCCCAGCATGCTTGTGCATCTGGAGTGTTGAAGATCTAGGTCTGGAAGTTCACTGAGAACTGTGATTCATGTTCTGCTGCCTGAGTTTCCCCTGATGAAAAGAGTGAGGCCCTTCCCTTCACATAACTAGGCTAGGGCTGTTCAGGCACAAATTCTGCTCGTTGCAGAGGAACCGTCTCTGCCCTGTTGCTTACACCTATCCTAACTAGCAACATGAGGGCAGACAAGAAGGAAAGGTGGGGGTTTGGGCCTGTATAGAGGTCAGCCATGTTGCATGCTCCTATTTTTACACCAGCAGGTACAGAGGAAACCACTCTCTTGTGAAGTCTAATATTTGTTGGGGGGTTGGAGTTGGGGTATGGAGGAGGGGCTGTTCTGGGCATCAGTTGAGCAGATGCCCAGGATGCCTGGGGGAGACCAGCTTCTCCTACAAATCAGAGCTCTAAATTACAAGGTTTTAACCAACGCGAACAGTTGGGAGAAGTCGTCTGCTCTCATTTGCGTAATGGTTTCTGTCACTGGTGATTAGACACAGGATGAAGGAAAAGAAATTTGACAATTAGGAATGAGCAATCATTAATCTGAATCTGTTAGGAGACAGAGAGGGGAAGGATCCTTATCAATGGGCCAACCCAATGTGAGGATACCCTCCCTCTGTCCCCCAGAGACTCTTGGGCCACATACCCTTTCATTGTTTTCTTCATAGGCTGAGCTGTTATTTCTTAACAAAGGTTGGGTGGTCCCAGTCCCCAGGCTGCGGTAGATTCAGGAACAGACATCTAGAGGCGTGAGCCAACAAGGAGTGTCAGATGCAAGCGATAGGGCAAAGAGTAGCAACAGAATGTTTCTGACATGGTGTTTCTTGTTTGTGGAAAATGTTTTTGTAATCAACACTCCAGATACCCACCTGTGACAATTTGTTAGATTTCAACACTGAAGGATGTGGAGAAAACCTGCTGTTTTATCCTCCAGGAGCCTCTTTAGTTGGAGAGGAAAGCACACGAAATACCCAGAGGTTATGAAGCCATGTGTCATGCACCCTGTGAGGACGAGATTAGAGGCTGTTGAGAGAGGAAGAAGATGAGTGGAGAGCAAAGCTCAGCCTCCGGGCTCCTCCCGGTCCTTGGGCTCATCAGGGAGGACGCTTTACCCTGGGCCTCCCCCCTCACTTGTCATTGCGGCTGTAGCTATGTGGAAGGCCCTGGTGTGTGAGCAGGTGATGAGATGAACTAACAGGCTGAGTGTTAAAGTGTGAAGAGTCCCTCCTTGGATCATATGTCTCCATGTCACCTCGTCTCATCCTTCTGATTCTTCGAAGATCATGGACAGTGTTTGCAGCAATTGTTATTTCTCAGTTTTGTGACTTACATGTTGGTGGTTCCTTAGGTCAGAGGCTCCCTCAGGGATTGGAGGCAGGGATGGCGGTGGTGGTGGTTCATTGTCTCCTCAGAATGGGAACTTGTGTGGATAGGACTGTCTCTCCCCTTAGTAACTTCCCTACTTCTGGGTCTTCTACCGTTCAAAATCCAGTGCAGAGATCGGTAGGACTGCAGAGAGGTGTCCTCAGTGGTCAGTTTTACCCAAACAAGTTGGATATAGGGATACACTTAAGAAGTGCTTGTGGACTTCCAGATGCCCTGGGCTTTCTGCCTGTGTCATCTTGCCTTTTTCTGTTACCTCTAGTGCTTCCCTCACTGCCCCAACACCCCAGTCCCAGCCTGCTTCTCTGGTATTCTCTCAAATTGCCTGCTCTAAAGAGATGTTCCAGCTTCCTTTTCCAGAGTACCCCCTCCCCCAGTTTCTCCTACTCATCCTCTTCCTACCTAGTCTCTCCAGCAGTCCCTTCACCAAAGTCCTTTTTGTAAATAGTCACTTTCTCAGAAAATCCCTGGCTGCAGGTGTTTAGATTGACTTTCTCTAGGGTCCCTTCATCTTTCTTTTCTGATCTGCAGTAATTCTGTGTACCTGTTTGTCTGCTGTGTTCTCTTGCCATCCATTCCTTTGTCATGTCTGCACATCCTGGTTTGGCTTTGCTCACTCTGGGAGCCCTTTCTGCTAGTCTTCAGCCAACTCCATTCAATCCTTATAGGGTTTAGGATCCTCAGCAGAGCCCTGCTGAGCACTTTTGGTGTGATTCTGGGGGACAAAGCCTCACACGTGGGCAGCCTTGAGTCCCAGGGGCCTGTGGTTAGTGAGACCTCCAGTGAGGAGTGAGAGGAGGGAATCCAGAGTCGTGGACAGTGGAGGACCAGTGAGTAGAGATTGAGCAGGAGACTCCCCAGGAGTGGAGCTGAGCCTGGCAAGCCTGGAGGGAAGAACTGAAGTTTGTGTTTCTGTCTACATGGATCCATATGCCTTAGGGAACAGCAGTTGAGGGATGGTGGGTCTTTTGCGAATGTCCCCCGATTTCTCTCAGGTATCTTTGGTGATGCTCCGAGTCACCAAATTTGGCTCACTTCTGCGTTTCAGTGTTTGAGAGAGAGAAAGCACACTGAGTAGTCGTGTCAGGAGTGGAAGGTCTTAGACAAGAAAGACGCCAGAAGCCGGGGTAGCAGGAGACAGGGACCCAGTGGTCAGCTTATATAACCAGACTGTCACTTCACTCCTCCAGGTGTTTAGTACAATAGGTGGTTAGAGGAGTTTAAAAAAAAAATAGGGCCTGCCTTCCCCACCTAAATCTGGTCTTCAGGTGATGTTTTAGGAAGGAGTATGTATCTTTTAACTTCCAGTGAGAAACAGCATAACAATTGAGTGTAGTGTATGAAAGCATGGGTTTGTGAATCAGATGGTGTATTTGGTTCAGATCTCTAGTTCTACCTACTGGCTGGGCTGGACCTTGTTGATTGAGTTGACCTCTGTGAGCCTCAAGTTTCCTCAGCTATTAATGATACGTGTGTAGGGAGAGGGAGTGGGTGTTGAAAATATCTACCTCAGGGCTGATGAATTGATGGAAACAATGATTGTAAAGCTTTAGCACAGTGCCTGGCAAGCACTTAATAAATGGCTGTGATAGTTGTGGTTGTATTTTTTATATGA